GGAAGCTTCTTGAGTAGCGGCTGCTCCCTCTTCAGTGACGGCTGCTCCCTCTTCAGTGACGGCTGCTCCCTCTTCAGTGGCGGAAGCTGCTTCTTCAGTAACTTCCTCTGCCTTATTAACAGCAACAACTTCAAGTACAACACAACCTTCATCAGAGCCAACATAGACAACAAATCCTACATCAGCAGGACATGCTGAGAACACCACAGGCTCGTTACGCTTCAAAATAGTACGACGTTTCATCGCAGCATCAAAAGTAATCGTGTTTCCTTCAACTCCCCATCCTTGTGCAGCTTGTCCCACATCACCGACGGATAACGCTCCATCAAATTCAACGTGGACATATTGCTCTCCAATCGTGAGGTATCCGTCAACAAGGTTAAAGATGGCTTCAACACCATTCAACAAGGTAATATGTGTTTCATTTGTTCCAAAACTAACAATTTCATCCTCCAATAATGTAAGAAGTATAAATGGTTCATATGGGTTAATTGCTTCAGTTGGCAATGTAGCTGGCTCTTTAGTAGCAACTAGTTCTTCTGGTTCTTCAGTTGCTGTTGGCTCAAAAGGTTGTTCGATGGCAATTGGTTCTTCTGGTTCTTCGGTGGCGACTGGCTCTTCAGTAACGACTGGGTCTTCTGGTTCTTCAGTTGTTGTTGGCTCAAAAGGTTGTTCGATGCCAACTTGCTCTTCTGGCTCTTCAGTTGCTATTGGCTCTTCAGCAGTTGATTCTTCTGGTTCGTCAGTGACAACTGGTTCTTCTGGTTCTTCAGTAACGACTGGTTCTTGTGGTTCTTCAGTTGCTGTTGGCTCAAAAGGTTGTACGATGCCAACTGGCCCTTCTGGTTCTTCAGTTGCTGTTAGCTCTTCTGGCTCTTCAGCAGTTGATTCTTCTGGCTCTTCAGTTGCTGTTGGCTCTTCAGCAGTTAATTCTTCTGGTTCGTCAGTGACAACTGGCTCTTCAGTAACGACTGGGTCTTCTGGTTCTTCAGTAGCAACTGGCTCTGCAGCAGTTGATTCTTCTGGTTCTTCAGTAACGACTGGGTCTTCTGGTTCTTCAGTAGCAACTGGCTCTGCAGCAGTTGATTCTTCTGGTTCTTCAGTAACGACTGGGTCTTCTGGTTCTTCAGTAGCAACTGGCTCTGCAGCAGTTGATTCTTCTGGTTCTTCAGTAACGACTGGGTCTTCTGGTTCTTCAGTAACAACTGGTTCTTCAGCAGTTGATTCTTCTGGTTCTTCAGTGACAACTGGTTCTTCTGGTTCTTCAGTAACAACTGGTTCTTCAGCAGTTGATTCTTCTGGTTCTTCAGTGACAACTGGTTCTTCTGGTTCTTCAGTAACGACTGGCTCTTCGGTGGCGACTGGCTCTTCTGGTTCTTCAGTGACAACTGGCTCTTCTGGTTCTTCAGTGACAACTGGCTCTTCTGGTTCTTCAGTGGCGACTGGCTCTTCTGGTTCTTCAGTGACAACTGGCACTTCAGTGGCGACTGGGTCTTCTGGTTCTTCAGTGGCGACTGGTTCTTGTGGTTCTTCAGTAACGACTGGTTCTTGTGGTTCTTCAGTGACAACCGGTTCTTGTGGTTCTTCAGTGACAACTGGTTCTTCAGTTGCTGTTAGCTCTTCTGGCTCTTCAGTTGCTGTTGGCTCTTCTGGTTCTTCAGTAACAACCGGTTCTTGTGGTTCTTCAGTGACAACCGGTTCTTGTGGCTCTTCAGTAACGACTGGCTCTTCTGGCTCTTCAGTAACGACTGGCTCTTCTGGCTCTTCAGTAACGACTGGCTCTTCTGGCTCTTCAGTAACGACTGGCTCTTCTGGCTCTTCAGTAACGACTGGCTCTTCTGGCTCTTCAGTAACGACTGGCTCTTCTGGCTCTTCATTAATAAGAAGATCAATACGACGTAAGGTCAAATCCTGGCAATCATCACCTGGTTCCAGTTGAATCACGAAAGGTGGCCGTCCCAGAACTTCATTTGAGAAACAGGCATATAATGGAAAAGAATAATATATTTCGCTCTGTTCAGCCTCAGAGTCGAAAATAATCCAAGGATTTGGAGTCTCTCCAGTAGGAAGAACTTTTAACCAATTATCTTCCGAATCATGTGCAACCTTAGATCCTTCATCATCCAAGAAAACTAAATTGTGCTCTGAATCAAATTTAAACCTAGTGATACTTCCTAAATAAATTATTGCTTCTACTTCTGATACCAAATAAACCCGATTATCAGGTGGGAATGGTTGAGTTAAATAGTAATTACCACCATTAAGTTGTGATGTAACTATAAAATTTTTGTCCCAAGCAGATACTAATCCTGAACCAAGGGCTAAGAGACCAGTCAACGAACTAATTCTCATGGCTTGATTTCATAAATTGGCTTCTAGTGTATCAAAAGAAAGACTCTAATTCCCTTGAAAGTAGAAATCTAGGACTTAAAAGGGTAACACATAAGACTAGAAAATCTTTGAAATCCTGGAATCCTTCATCTTTTTATATTAAAACAAACCTATTCCTCCTGAAGTTGGTGTGATCTTCCCGTTACGGTAACATTGCAAGCCCATCTTTCTCTCTTTTTCTTGATAACTTTCTTTTCCCCCTGTACTCCAGGTTCATATACTGTGATCTATTGGTTGATTGTGGAAAGAAAAAGAAAATAATAAGATGTTTTCACGAAATCGATAAAAAATAAAAGAAAAAAATAATAATAAAATCGAAATCGAAATTAAACCACACAATTCTTAGTCCTGGTTAGTAGTCTCCTTTTATTTATTATTTATTGAAACAGCCAGAGAAGGTCCAGGACTACACAGTTATTCTTTGTTTTGTCTTGCACTTTTGCCAAAATGCTTTATAATTTGTAATTTCTTGTTGACTTTTTGTTGTTTTTTGGAAAATCTTGAAGCGTAATTAATCAAAAGATCTTGATTTTCATGGTTACAATAAATGAAGGAAGAAAAAGAGCAATGGGAGGTGGACTCGTTGGGGTTGTATATTCTTCCCCGCCTCCTCACTCAACACGACTCTTTGAGATAAACTTCTGCAACCTCAATATATCTACTTCTCCCTCTCTAAGATCCCAATAATAGTATCCACGCCCATCCTCACTCTATACTCTCCTCTATACTATCCTACCTTCTCCTTTCATAGTCACCTCTCCCGATTCCTCCCATCTCCTCAACTTTACTGTACCACCCCCTCACCTTCTCTCCAATCTCCTTGACTAGATCCTAACATCATCTCTCTTGGCCTCTTCTATGTTCATTAATGCATCCTTAACTAGTATCTTCTCATACACACCTCACACCTAAAGTGACCCACGGCGAAACACACCTGGGGACTGTGTAGTGCCTTATTAAAACAATTGCGGTTAATTAAACTCTGGGAATTTAATGATGAAATTTTACGGCTCAAAATTCCACCAAAACAAATAAACATAAAATCCTTTTACCATATCTAGAAAGTACTGGTCATAGTTTTCCAAGACATCTTTGTATGACAATATATTACTCAATCCCTTTCTTGAAAGTTTTATTCAGCATTCAAAGAGTTCACAATTTTTTATTATCCAATCAAATACACCAATTTTTCCACTCGATCGCTGTTTTCCAACTAAAAAAATCGTCACAAAATTACATTTCATTTTTTACACACTCCTGTCACATTCCCGTCATAAATCCGATGATATCATTTTTTTGCATCAATATCATCCAAACTGACCTTTTTCTATTTCGGTATATTCTCCTTGCACTATATTCAATGAAATGCCCTGCATCCATAAACACACACATGTAATGAGCTTTGTTATTTGCTTTAAAATTTACATCCCTATCCATCTATTGTGTATCCTTCACCGCATCCTCTTCTTCTCTGCATCCTATGTCTTCGTTTGGTAGCAATCTACAGCTCCTCCAAGCACGTGTACATGCACTTACTTTATTTTCAGAAACCTCCATTTTTCTCCACTTTTTCATCCTACTACACCATCTCCAATAATGCTTCGTTTCACAAAGGCACTCTCCTCAAAGACAAGAGAGCTCTCCAAAAGCATACATAAAGTGATCAATGTGTTGTCACAAAGTCTACATAGAGAATCGCCAAAACACTCAGCGGAGGTTCAACACTCAGCAGAGGGACAAAGATCTAGTTCTGGTAAACTTCAAAACTTTTCCACATTCTACAAATCATTCCAATATACACTCTTCACCTCCTACAAATCGCTGATCCTCCACAACAAGCCGCAGCTTATCAAGTTTGTTTCAAGGCCTCGTTTTTATGGCTTCTTCCTTTTTCAAACACCAAAGTTCAACCTAAACCCAACTTACCCATTATTGCAGATCTTATGGAAAAAGTTTCAACAGCGCACTCCTCTACACTCGAAACCAAACCTTTCGCTATCAGCACGCATCCACCATCAAGTGTTATCGCTTGCTAAAACTGAATCATCGTCCACCTCAAATGCTGTTGCCAATTGCCACATTGACTTCCCAGTCAACTTCACCTTCTCCATTCCCAATGAGACAATTCTCACTCAAGACACCCTAGATGAAATCTTGTTCAACATAAAGACATTTGAGAAAAAACTAAACGATTTCAAAGCTGATCTAACCAGCATTTTTGAATTGGGCGAGTTGCCAATCAAATACTTGTCCAAACAAAACGTCCTCAGAGTTTACTTTGCAAACTGCGATAAGGAAAGGTTACTGAGACTATGCAATGAAAAGGGTATCGTAGGAGGCTTCATACATGAAGACTCCCAGGGTATCGCTCCTGTCCCTGCAGTGGTTAACGACTCGGATATCTTGAGTTCCTATTCGGATGACCATTCCTTCTCATCTGACGTCTTGAGCTCATTGTCAAGCGATCTTGATCACCATTTATCAAGAACTGTTGTACGTCCTGAAATCCCAGAGGACTTCCACTGGGTAGACTCTCGTGTATAGTATTCAATTCTCCTTCCATCTGTTTCCACATTTCACACACTTGTAAAAAGTCGTCATCGGCTCATCTGCAGACCTGATTTGTAGTTGAAAGTAATATGCCTTGTCTCCACCACATGTGTCTATAGGACACTGTGCCGCTGTCTGGTCAACATTATCCCATGTACCTTCTCCTCCTAATACATCATCCACCTCTTTTCTATCTAGCTTCTTCCTATCATACATCCGCAACCCACTGATCTTAAACTCGTAAGGACACGTCGCACAGTAGAACCGATTCATATGGTCATTTCCTGGCGATACCATGAGCATATTCAGACAATGGGGGCAGAACGTGAGCATTTGTGGATGGTAAATCAACCTAAATGGAAAATCTTGAAAAAAAAAAAAAAGAAATTGAAAAAAAAAATATCTACAAGTTTGAAGTATCGGCTGTAAATTTATTTTTGGATGATAAACCGAGAACCATCAAAACCTTTTACCACTCACTCTTGCAATGCCTGCTAATCAAGATGAAATCTATTGCCGATACAGGAAGCCAGACTTATATTAGGTTTAATCTATTTTGTATAGTAGTCTTTGTCTTCCATCACATCTAATCCTGTGCATTTACAAATCAGTTTTCAATTCACTGTCTATATGCAACTATTTAGGTACAAATATTTTATTTCGTTCCTACTTCAATATTAGTTGAGTCAGGAATAATAATATATAGTAGTATACGACTTTCTCTATTTGATTACAACTGACACTATCGAGCAGAGCGAGATAGCGTTTTGATAAGCTACTGAGTGTTGCTCCTCTATCGAGCAGAGCGAGATAGCGTTTTAACAAGCTACTGAGTGTTGTTCCACTATCTCGCTCTGCTCGAAAGTTGAGCACACTAGCACCGACACGCTAGATGGGAGATGAATGTTCCTTGGGAAGTAAGCCCCTCGGCCGAAAGATACTCTAACTAGTCAAGGATTCGTCTGACTTTGAAACAAATCACCTACAACGTATAACTATATTTAATATAATTTCTTCTCCTACCATCCTCTTTCTTATACAAACCTTCGCCACGTTTCCACCTCATGTACTATTTACATGGCCAAGATCAATCATCCTTTTGTTCGTCCCTCCTAATTATTTTTTTTTTTTTTTTTTTAGTTCAATAAATTTTTTTTTTTCCTTTTATTGTTTTTCCATGATTCATATTAAAGTCTCAACCTGAGAGGGAGAGAGAGAAAGATAGAGAAAGAGTTTGCCGTTATACACTTTTATCAGCCATGGGGACACTTCCAAGACTCAAGGAGGAGACGGAATTGCAAGTCGGGAAACAGAAAGTTTCCGTTGTGAGATATATATCGGAAGGGGGATTTGCACAAATATATGAAGTCTTGGTCATATCAACAGATAAGGACCCTTGGACGGCCTGTTTGAAAAGGGTAATTGTGCCAGACAAGAATGGATTAAATCAGTTGAGGAAAGAGGTAGAGGTTATGAAGACTTTCCGCAATGCGAGGAATATTGTCACGTACTATGACTCACACGCTGAAAAACTCGAGAATGGTACGTATCAAGTATTAGTGTTAATGGAGCTTTGTCCCGGAGGATCGTTACTAGACTACATGAATGCCAAAATCAAGACAAAATTAAACGAACCTGAGATCCTCAAAATAATGTTAGACGTGACCCAGGGGGTTTTCGAAATGCACAAGAACAAACTTATCCATCGTGATTTGAAAATTGAAAATGTCTTGATCAATGCCAAAGACAGTTTCAAGTTGTGTGATTTTGGATCAACCTCTGTGCCGATAATGCCGCCTCAAGATCAACAGCAATTCAAATTTATAAGCCATGACATTTTGTACCATACTACACCGCAATACCGGTCTCCAGAAATGATTGACTTGTATCGACAATTGCCAATTGATGAGAAAGCAGATATTTGGGCACTTGGGTGCTTTTTGTATAAGCTTTGTTATTATACCACCCCGTTTGAGGCGAACGGCGAGATGGCGATATTGCATGCTTCATTTCAGTTCCCTTCATTGCCACAATTCTCTGGAGACCTCAAAAATTTAATCATAATAATGCTTCAAGAGAATCCATTATTTCGGCCGAATATTTTCCAGGTACTCATTTTGGTTTGCAAAATGTCAAAGATCAACTTTGAATTGTTGGGGTTGAAGGATATTTACAAACTCGGACCTTACAACTTTCAGGCATTGCATGAGTATCAACTACAGAAACAAGCAGAGATTATGCGGGAGAAACAGATTTATGCTCAACAGCAAAGTTTGGCCAATGCAGCAGCTGCAATGGAGAAGGTTATCGTTTCACCTCTGGTACAACCATCCCAAGCGCCTCAGATAACAGTGACCGAGACAAAAAAACCCGAGACAATACAGGAAACAAAACAAAAGATGATTGCTGTTGCCGATCCAACAACTGAGGAAAGCACAGAAATCATTAGTAAACCAGTTGACGAAACTCAGGCATCGCCAAATTCTCTTCTCGGGTTCAGCCTGGACAACGAAGATAGTTTTTCTGATTTGGAGCAACTTGAAGATGCCGAAGAAAGGTACCCTTCATTAGAACACATTGCAGTAAGTGATAACTCACCACCACCAATCAAGTCCACAGTGCAGTCCTTGAAACTGAATGAGGATATACCCTCAATTGAACATTCAGCACAAAAAGTGGAGAATAATCCTTTTCACAATGAGAGCAACAAAGGGTTCAATCCTTGGGCTGAGGTGGTTGAAAGCAAGAGTCCAATAGTAGAACCACAACGACATGCAGATTTTCAACTTTCTCCAAGACTTGGAAACGTTGCGCCTTTGGAAAGGGACACATTGCATATTTCTCCAAAAAACAACTTCATACAACCGTACACACCCAATTTACACCTGAACAACATCCCTCTCGTACAAAGTAACCCACAGCAACTACAACAACAGCAACTACAACAACAACAACAAGTACAGCAGCAACAACAAGTACAGCAGCAACAACAACAAGTACAGCAGCAACAACAAGTACAGCAGCAACAACAGCAACAACAGCAACAACAGCAACAACAACATCAGCAACAACAACAGCAGCAGCAGCAGCAGCAAAAGCAACAACAACAACAACAACAACAACAACAACAACATGTTGCATTACCGAGTTCTACTTTGGAACCAAATTTAATAGACTTGATTGAGCCAGGAGTGAAAAAAAAACCCATAGATAGTCTCAATAATAACCACAAATCTACTGCATCAAAGAGGTTTTCTTCTAATTCACAGCTTGTGCTACAAGAGGAAGTTGTAGATTTTGCTTCGGATGATGAGAACTTAGACAATGGGTCGAGATTGAGTAGAATGAAAATTAGAAACTCGTTGAAACATCCAAAGGGAAGAAGATCAGGTGAGCTTAACAGAGCTGATAGTTACGAATCAAAAAAGAGACTTTCATTCTTTGGAGCTTGATAGATTGAAATAGATTTTTTAATCGCTGCAATAGTTTTATCAACTTTTTCCTTCTTTATCATCATCTCATTTCTTTTTTTTTTTTTTTTTTTTTTTTTTTTTTTTTTTTTTTTTTTTTTCTTTCTTTTTTTTTTTGCAATGAAGGACATTATAGAAGGGATGGATTCAGTACAAGAGCAATTGGCTCAACTTCTTCTCCTCGTTCCGCCCGATGTGTACCGAGAATGTGAAGATTATAGATTCAAAATACCCACGAAAGCAATTCTCGAGGGTAGATATTTCAAGTTGATCGAAAGTAGCGACTTTAAGGAAATTTCGGCTCTACCTCAACTTCAAACGGTACTTTCTCAGTACCCAGCGAAAAGTCTTGGTGAAGTTCTTCAGGAATATGTTAACCTTTTAGTAGAATCTAGTATCAAACTTACAGGAGAGAAATACTGGTTCAGCCTTCAATGCTATGCAATTGCATTTTTGCAGCTATTTGTACAAGTGAACTTTACGGGTCCACCAATGAGTAGAATTGCAACTGAAGCTTTATGGTTTCCACATGTGGATGAAGAGCAAATACAACGGGATGCAGTTCAAGCTCTTGGATTTGCGGGACTGCAAGGCTACGACTTAATGCAGGACCCAATTCATCTAATCATAGCTGAGTTGATATTGGAGAGGTTATCTGATACGCCTATGGAGTTGTCGATATTTAGCAAATCAGTAGTGGAAAAGAGTGAGGATATATTGAGTTGTGTTGGCGCTTTTTCTCAACAAAGCGAGATGGATATGAGCAAAGCTTCGCTTTGTTGGTGGAGAGCCCGTGCTTATCAGGTTCATGCTTCTGTATTGTCTGATCCTGCTAGTATCATACTGTCCATATGTTCGATTTTGCTAAACAACCAGGTTATTAACAAAATTGCTACAGGTCAACAGAGTGAAATTGAAAAATTGCTTCGAATCCAGTTTTCCTTGGAACAGTCGAGAGTTCACATACAGGCTCAAACGGAACATCGGGCAATTGACCCATTAGTCGAGGCATTAAAGATTTCTGGTTTGGAATTGTTGCTTTCCGGGGCAAAAGCAAAAAGAACAAAGTTTCAAAAGTTTTACACGTCAGGATTAATTGTACTTGCTAAGAGCTCGCAAAAAACAGTTTACGACGAAGACGACGATAGCAACACCAATAACTCAAGTATATTCGAGCCCGAGACTTTCCAAATGTATTCGGATATACTTTTGGAGAAACCTGAATATGAAGGCTTGGATGATCTCAACATGGAAATTGAAAATGAAAGCAAAAAGATCAAAATAGATTATGATATGTTGAAAATAAATTTGGAGGAGAATAAGTTACTTCCTATTGCAATGACGCAAAAGGATATCCCTATAAACTTGAAGGAATTAGATCCAAATAATCAACCGGCACTAAATAATATCGATGTTTTGCAGTTGTTGTTGAGATTAATTGTTATCAAACAAACTGCGCCAATGAATGATCCTTTAGTTAACGAGGAGTTGTCAGCGTTGGTGGAAAGAATATTGTATGCCCAGCCCGGCCACTTGAACTGGCTTTTATACTCACGAGCTCTTTGGGAACGATCGTTACTTGAAACAGGAAGGTCAAAGACGGTAGAAAGAGGAATATTACAAATGACGTCTTTAGTTGAAGAGATGGGTCTTAAGATCAAGTCACGACTTATTCCTCAAGAAGAAGAAGCCGCCGATTCCAACCAGCAAGCTTCATTGAGGTTGAGGTTTATACACCAGTTACCATTATTACCTCAATGGTCAATGGATGTCAAGCTCGCAGAAAAATACATGTCATTGGGAGTTGTTAAATCGGCACTTGAGATTTATGAACGACTAGGACTACATTGCGAAGCGGCATTATGTTACGCTGCAACAGATCGTGAACATGAAGCAGAAAAAATATTAGTCAATCGTATCAAGCTGAATCCAAACGACGCTAGAGCAATTTCAATCCTAGGCGATATAAAACAAGACCCAGCGTTATGGGAAAAAGCATGGGAGATTTCGCGGTACTCCAAGGCCAAGGCTTCGTTATCCCACTACTACTACTCTCCTCCCGCTGGGTCTGGGCGAAGCAAAAACCTAGAACTTGCAATTTCAAACATGTTTGAATGCTTATCTTCAAATCCATTGAGCTATGAGAATTGGTTTTTTTATGGTTGTTGCGGATTGGAGAGTGGACAATTTGAGTTGGCGTCTGAAGCATTTACAAGGTGTGTCTCCCTTGATGACAGTAATTCTTACGCATGGTCCAACTTGGCTAGTGCCTTGATAAAGCTAAACAGAACAAAACCTGCATTCAATGCGTTGAAAAAGGCCATTCGTTGTGGCGGTGACAAAAAGTCATGGAGAATTTATGAAAATTTCATGAATGTTGCTGTTCAACTAAACGAGTGGAATGATGTGCTATTTGCTTGTCGAGAGTTATTGAATATCAAAAAGAACGAAGGAAATGCCGCTATTGATGTGCCAGTTTTAGAGAAACTATCTGAAATTCTCGTATCTACAGAGTACCCAACGGAGTCTAGATTATCCCATTTCCAAAAATCGTGTATTGATCTTATTTGTAATATTTTGCCTGGAATGATTACTTCATCTGCAAGATGTTGGAAAATTGTTGCTCGTGTTGAGTTGTGGAGAAAAAAACCGTGGGCATCGTTGGAGTGTCATGAAAAAGCATACAGGGCAATGGTGCACAATACAGAACTAGACTCCAATGAAGAGATTTGGAATGAAGTCGTTGAAGCATGTGTTGATTTAGTGAGCGCATTTGAGTCTCTTGGAGAACTTCCTGGTAAGTATGGCACGGGGGATTTAGTGTGTAAGGATTGGAGGTACAAGTCGAGGATGACTGTTAGGTCACTAATGTCAAAAGGAAAAAATACATGGGAGGGTTCCTCCGGATGGCAGAGGTTAGTTGGTTTGAAAGATGACTTGACAAAATAATAGAGGAATAGTCTCTTTTTTTTTCATTTTTTATTTTTTGGTTTTTTTTTTTTTTTACCTTAGATCACTAATAATACTAAAGCAATCAAATCCGAATGAAACAGGTCTCTGAGTTTGCAATACCACTGCCTTCTCTGCCGGGATGGTATCCTCTTTTGGGAATTTCCCATGCACAAAATAGTAGATAGCCTTAGCAAGCTGTAGTGATCTGGTTGCAGTATCCGATTCTTCAAGCTTCAAGGAATATGCTAATGTAAAGCATATGGAATTATTAAAGTGCAAAGTTTCAAAAGACTCACACCAAAAAACCACAAGAACGATATTTTCCAACATGCCAAGGAAGAATTTGGCGATATCTGCAAAATTGACGATTCTTGTTTCAACAGTTTCTAGTATCCCAACAAAAGAGTGTGTAGTCAAGAGTGCTAATTTGTAGCAACTCGGTGCTGAATCTAATATTGAATATGCGAAAAGAAGCATACAAGTACTTTCCTGTCTCAAGATCCTTGCGAGTAAACTTTCACTACTTGTTGATTTTGCGCTGGAGACCAATCTGATTTTGCCAGATCTGGTAGTAGGATTAGTTAGCACGGTTTTCACCTGTGCTAGTAAGATAAACCCATATTTGAGCAAAGAAATGCCAATGGTTGTTATATAGGCCTGTTTTGTTTTTGGGCTCATTTGATACCAAAGATAAATCCAAATCAAACCCGTGACAATTGTCAAGATATTGCACATTAGCAAAAACTCCCTTGACGAATTCTGAGCTCTCATCAATTTAAGCCATCGTTTTGCTCGCCTTGATATCCTGGAATTCGCCCTTGAAAGCAAGGCAATGTAAAAATGGTAAAAATCTCTTAGATACTCGGTTACACAGAACTTGTAAATCGTCATTTACCCTTGTTTTGTAAAGTGTTTCAGTCAAAGATTGCTAATTTCTTTTGGAAAACACAAGTTGGACTTTGAAGATTTAATTAAAATCCAATGGCTGCGAAATAACATAAAAGATGTTCCAGAAAAATTTAGTGTAACAAAAAAGAAAAAAAAAAAAAAACAAAAAAAAAAAAAAGAAAAGAAACATTTTACAGTCAATCTGAAAGATCCCAAATATGTGACATGTGACGTATATTGGCTTTGCACAGAGCCATTCAGTTTTGCCATATTACAACCGCATTCAACAATTACTCCTTACTTGTCTCTAGTGTAACCACACCTTTTACCTTGTAACAAAAATTTTGCTATTGATAAAAATTCTGCACAGTACACGCACACAGAAAACGAGAACCCAAAAAAAAAAAAAAATCACGTTAAATGATATTTCATTTAATCCCCACGTATCAAATCCACCCCTCCCTTGATTCGGTGAATCTAGCTTGCTGTATACATATTTATATTTTTCCTTACCCCAAAGTTGATGCTGATATAGAGATAAATAATAAAAAACAATAATTTAAAACTGACCAAATGGATGATAAATACATAGGACTTGTGTTGGCTATGTCGTCTTCACTAGCTATTGGAACCTCATTTATAATTACCAAAAAGGGTCTAATAGACGCGGCCGCTCGCAAAAAACAAGGCAGTAGCAGCGGCACGGTACAAGCCTCGGACTATTTGCAGAATCCGATATGGTGGGGAGGCATGATCACGATGGCGATTGGAGAGATTGCGAATTTTGCAGCTTATACTTTTGCACCGGCGATTTTGGTTACTCCCTTGGGTGCATTATCGGTTATTATTGGAGCTGTTTTGGCAGCCATTTTCTTAAAGGAAGAATTGGGCGTCTTGGGTAAAATGGGTTGTGCAATTTGTCTAATGGGCTCTGTGATTATTATTCTACATGCCCCACCAGATAAGGAAGTTGAAACAGTTGACGAAATCTTGGGGTATGCCACTAAACCGGGCTTTTTATTTTACTGCTCTGCAGTTGGTCTCTACTCTGTATTTATGATTTACAAGATTGTTCCTAAATTTGGAAACACCAACCCCATGATTTATTTGTCAATATGTTCTTCGGTAGGATCCATTTCGGTTATGGCTATCAAGGCTTTTGGGATTGCTTTGAAATTGACTTTGGGGGGTAATAACCAATTTACCCATGTTTCCACATATTTATTTTTAATTGTTGTTGCAGTGTGTATTGTGACTCAAATGAACTATTTTAATAAAGCGTTGGATCAATTTGACACTTCAATTGTGAACCCGTTATATTACGTTACCTTCACTACATTCACCTTGGCAGCATCGTTCATTTTATTTAGAGGCTTCAATACTTCCTCCGCAGTTAACATTATCTCGTTATTAATTGGATTTTTGATCATTTTCAGCGGGGTTTACCTATTGAACATTTCGAGAGAAGAAAGTGATGGCAGAGATCGTGAAATATTTGGATTACACAGTTCAAAAGACATGGCTCCTTTGGATAATGGAGTTGGCGGGTTTTCTACTGTTAGAAGGTCGATGCAAGTAGACAGATCGTTTGACTTTGACCGTGAGGAAGTGGTTGGATTAAGAAGAATCGACAGTTTTGAATTAGGGAGTGATGATGGAGATTCAAGAGATTATAGACAATAGACAACAAGATTAAAAGAAAAGTATAAAGATAACAAGTAAAGGAAAACAGAACAAAACAAAACAAAAGACTGAAAATAAGTTATAGAATTTTTTTTTTTATATATCAAAAAAGAGCTTGCCTTTTTGGATTGTATTTATATATATATATATATACCTCTATTTACAAACCCATTTTTATTCTTGATTCATTCTTTCCTTCTCTTAATGCAATAGAAGCAATTTTATATATCATCAATGTCTAACTCGCCATCATCTTCTGAAACACTTTCATCAGCTCCACCGAATTCGAAGTTAACGTCCTCATCATCATCGGCTCCAAATGTGTCTGTTTCGTTAATCTTTGCATTCTCTGGCAACTCACCCAATTGTTTCAAAGACCTTGCTTCATCGGAATTGTACTTATGCACTACATCACATTGGTCATCCTGAAAATCCCTCAAACTCACCATAATTATATCTCCCTGGCCCATCCAAACCTTCTTTCTCATTTTACCTCTGATGTGTCCCATTCGTTTAACCCCATCAAAACATTGTACCTCAATTCTTCCATTACCTAACATTTTGGTAATTTGTGCATACTCCTGACCCTCTTCTTTAAGAATCAACTCCCTCTTTTGACCACTATTGTCATTCTTTCCTCTTCTTCTATTCTTACCACCTTTACCTTTACCCGACTTTCCCATATTTGCAAGAGTCTACTAATGATGGATAGATGATGTTCCCCTTTGCCTTTTTTTTTTTTTCATTTTTTTTTCATCATCGGTGATGATAAAGTTTGTTAGCTGGGTAATTTAATTTTTTTTTTTTTGCACCTACACGTAAGAAGGGAGATGAATTTATCAATAAACTTGCTCCAAGGACAAATCTTGTAGATATCTACGATAATGGACTCCTTTGAAGTGGCCAGTCAATTCACGACTATACTTAGAAACCTAACTCCACAGTATCAACAGCTAACTAAAGCCACTTACTTTGCTTTGAAGAATGCTGACAAGGAAGATTACATAGTACCGACGATTTTGACAGTTATTGAAGATCCCAAGTTAGACCTTAATACGAAACTGACTATTTTCCAGTTTATTGAGTTGCTCATTGCTGAAAGCTTTCAGAATCAAACAAAGTTTAATAATGCTTATCTTGAAAGCTTGAAAACTGCCTTGCCTCAGATTATTGAAAACATATGTCCCAAAGAAAACTCGGCGAATTTTCAAAATGCATATCAGAGTTTGAGCAATATTTCTAGACATTTCAACATTGATTGTAGAGAGTATCAAGTGAATTTCCAACAAGTGTCTTTAACAAAGGAGGATATGACAATCTTGGACCAAGAGGGGGGAGAAAATGCACTGTGTGCATTGAAATTGCAAGAGAATGGAGAAAATGTACCGGGTCCATCAAAGTTTCAAGAGAATGGAGAAAATGTACTGTGTCCATCGAAATTTCAAATTCTAGATACTGATGATTCTTTAGTGTCTGCTTGGAAGACCCTTTTAGAGAAAAAAAGGCATACACAAATTGAGAGATACAAATTGTTGAAGAGATGCGAGTTTGTGGACGAAAACGTAACTGAAGATCAACTATTCAGTATGCGAGATAAATCCGATATGACCAAGCCTCACCTTTTAACAAAACGACAAATCATCTCACGAATGGAAGACGAAAGAGAGAGTCATAAGCGATCAAAAGAGAATATATGGTGCGTAAATCGTGATAGAAATACAAAATTCATTAGTGAGGATGAGTTTGTAGAGTATTACTGGGACAGATACCATAAACTAAATAGAAAGGATTATAACGAATTCTTGAACAACCTTCAAGATTTGAATATCATGGCGCTAAAAAGTTACAAGGATGAGCAATTTGTATAGGGAGGAGGAGGAGGGGGAAAAGAAGTGTGTGAAGTACTTACTTGCTATACCTTTCATTATTTAAATCCCAAGCTCTATTGATACTTTCCAAACACTTTGACACCCAGTGTTTAGAATCTTGAGTCAACACAAAGTGATGACAATTCTCCCAACGCTTAGCTTTTTCAGCTTTGCTCATAACCAAAGCCTCATGTATCACCTCGGCAAATTTCTTCAAATCCCATGGATTAATCAACAATGCACCTTCTCCATTACAAGCTAGCAACGAGGCAGATCCAGTAAATTCTGACAAAACAAGAGGCGATTTCTTTTCTTCTGTAGCAGTAATAAACTCGTGACAAGTCAAATTCAAACCTTCTCTCATGGAGCTCACGACAAACACATCGGCCTCGCACTGTAATGCCAAATATTGATCAAAGTCTATATCCTTCTGCAATAAAACAACGGGTTGAGTAATCGAGATATTATCAGGTAAGGAGTTAATCCTGGAGATAATTTTCATTATCTCCAGCTCATAGTTGGGGTCGGCGTTTGTTCCAATACAAATCTGGATCAAAATTGTTTTTTCAATAAATTCAGGATGTTCAGTCAAAAACTTTTCGTACGCTAAAAGTTTCTGTTTTACACCTCTTAGTCTATCCAACTTGTCTCTACTAATAATCAAGTTCTCACTGCCCCATCTTTCTCGGATCAACCGCCTCCACTCTTTTACAGGATCACTATTGACAATTACACGAAGGGATGATGAATCAATTCCTACCGGAATCGTATTGACAAATGTGTTTCTACTTTGGAAAATGACATTGTTATCGCTGGTTTCTGCAGATAACAACTTGCTACAAGTCTGGAAAAAATGGCGAACGTATTCATTTGTCTGAAACGAGATGCAATCTGCAGCCAACATCCCTTCCAAAAGCTCGGTTCTTTGTGCTAAGCATCTAAATACTTCAGATGATGGGAATGAAACATGCAAAAAGAATCCGATTTTCACGCGTGGCAATTTCTCTCTAACCATTTTTGGCACAAGTAGTAAATGATAATCGTGCACCCACACCACGTTTTCTGAATCTTCAAAATTGCGCTCGCCATTAGTTTCCAAGTAGGATTTTACCAACTTATCAGCGATTAATTGATTCATCAACACGTAATGGCCCCACGAGTGGTCTTCAAAAGCTTTCGACTTGGGATTATCGGGAATTTGATAATGTAAAGTAGGCCACAAAATTTGCTTACAAAATGACCTGTAGTGCCCTTCAAATGTAATATCATCAGGAAAAACAGCATCACAGTCAAAGTCCGCAGCCAATGTTGAAGCAATCTTTTCTTTAACCTTGGGGGAAATTGTGTCGCTAGGCATGGCAACAATACCAACCCATCTACATTTATTGACGATCTGATTCTTGACTGAAATGTCAATGGCTTTGGTCAACGAGCCATTGCCGTCATCAGATGGCACAACAGACCATTCTGCTGTATCAAAAATATTATCATCATTCCATAAGCTTTCCTCTATTCCCGGTTTGGAAAAGCCTCCAAAGGGAGCTAAGGTCTTACGAGCTATCGAATTCTTGAAATTCTTTTCAAACCCATATTCATCTTCATCCTCGAGCGAAGAGGGAATTAAAGCAGTGTCTTCAAAATTAGAATTACACTCTTCTGAAATTAACGAGTTAGTACTACTATTTCCGTTGATGATGAAGCCGTATTTTTGTTGCTGTTGTTGCCGCTTTTGTTGTTGTTGCTGTTGCTGATGTTGTTGCTGTTGCTGTTGCTGTTGCTGTTGCTGTTGCTGTTGCTGTTGCTGTTGGCTAGTAGAAGCATGCCATGTGGGTGTCCTGTTTGTATCACCCTGTGAAGAAGACTTCATGAACGAAGAATTGGATCTATAGTTTTGCGGTCTCGATAATGAGTTTTGATTTGCGGCTGCTAAATTGGTGGATGATCTGCTTATCCGCAATGCAGGAGATCCATGGGATTCACCGGGTACTTTAGAATCCACAATTGAACTCTCAAACTTCAAGTTACTCAAGCGTGACTTTGGTTGGATATAATGAAGGTCACTAGAGTGCTTGATCGAGGGTGTCGGAGAGAGTGTGTACGACGAACTTGAAGGATTGCGTTGAAGACCACCAACACGTTTCTGATAAAAAAACCCCTCCGGAGTGTCTGCACGAAGCGAAGAAAGGTTTCCTCGTTCCATAATTGGGCTCGCTTTCTGTGCTTGATCTTCTAGTATCGAAGAGCCTTGTTGAAGCTGCAGCTGATGGCGTGGAAGCGTTGGGATGATTGATTGGGACACGGTGTGTGAGTAAATAGGCGGCGACGATATTGACCCACACGAGCTGGAAAGCATCGATTTCACACCATCATCTGACTCCACCGTTGAAGCATTGGATATCTTTAAATTCTCCAACTTTGAACTATTCTCACTTTGTAATATTTCATATTGGTTTTTGGCAATTTGAAAGTGAATTGTATAGGGCAAAAATCTGGAAAAGGGACCTTATCGTTAGTACACATACTTGGGCATTATGGTCCTTATGTCAATACATACAATGACCCAATGATAACCGTCATGACAAGTTAACAAGCCTTTTGTAACCGAGTTTATTCAAGAAAATCGATATTCGGGATATTCGTGATACTAATGCATTATTGAGCGATATATATATAATAGGATTTGAAATACAAGACACAGCAAACATAAAAAAAAAAAAAAAAAAAAAAAATTAAAAAAAAGGAAAAATTCTGTCCATCAAGGGGGAGAGAANAAAAAAAAAAAAAAAAAAAAAAAAAAAAAAAAAAAAAAAAAAAAAAAAATTAAAAACAAGGAACAATTCTGTCCATCAAGGGGGAGAGAAAAAAATAATGTCGCTTTTCTATACGCATAAGTAATCAATTACCAATAATTATATGCATTGGTAATGAATTACCAATAATTATACGGTTGCGAGCGACACTATTGAGCGACACTATCGAACAGCACTATCGAACAGAGCGAGATAGTGTAGTCATACTTACTATGTAGATATAACACTATAGACTGCTCCTCCCTACACTATCCAGCAGAGCTAGATGGTGGAGCAGCACTTACTAGCTGTTACTAGCAACACTATCGAGCAAAGCGAGATAGTGTAGTCATACTTACTAGCTGTTACTCACGACGCTATATCGCACTTCTCGATAGTAGAGCAGCACTTACTAGCTGTTACTCACGACGCTATCTCGCTCTGCTTGATAGTGGAGCAGCACTGGCTGGTGACACGAGTTGCATCGTTTCTATAGATATATAAGTTATACCACTATAGTAGAGAAGAAGAAGTAGAAAAGAATAGCAAAAGAGCGGAAAAAGTAGACCAGAAGAAGTAGAGCAGTAGCAGAGCACAAGCAGAGCAGAAGTAGAACAGTGCCAAGTGTTGCAACAGGCTAGTTATTGTTAATCAGAGGTGCTGTTTTATCAAGCTAATCAGTGTCATAACAAGCTAGTGTGCTCCACTATCTAGTGTTGCTCGATAGTGTCGATAGTGACAGCTAGTATTAATCAGAGCTAGTGTTAATCAGAGCTAGTGTTTCATCAGGCTAGTGTGCTCCATGATAGCTAGTGTTTCATCAAGCTAGTGTGCTCCACTATCTCGCTCCGCTCGATAGTGTCGATAGTGTCGCTGGTCAGTTGGTTATTCACAGAAATTCAGTTGTTTCCTCATTAAACATGTCATTACCAATGTCACTATCACTGTTACTGTCACTGCTGTAATGTCGTTTAAAATTGGAAAAATCAAATTGTATTTCATTTTTCTCTCGAAGTTGACGTTCTTCTCTTTGTTTTCTTTCCTTCATCTCTGCCTCTTGTTTTTCCATTTCCTTTAGTCTTAGGGAAACAATCACTTTTTCAAATTCCTCATCTAGGACATTTTTGAAATATATACTTGTCTCTTTTGTGGGTTTCTTCGTTGCATATGGGCTAAAGTAGGTTTCTGCTTTAATAAACACATTTGAGTCTCGTAAATTCCTCTTGGCTTCAAACTCTCGTTCTCTTTTCAACCTAATGTTTTTTCGTTGTCGAGCATATTTCTCAAAATCAAACTTGAAAATGGTTGGGTCTTGCTCGCTTTCATGTTGTTCATTTGCAATCGGTTGCTTCTCATGCACCTCCTCTTCAAGAACACTATCCTTTTTCCTACTACTCTCATCTTGTATCATCTCCTGCAACTTTTTCTCAAAATTTGTCTTTATGTTGTTTTCAACGTCATCGTTCTCAATAAGCTCATACAAATACTTCTCAGTCATCCTCGACTGTTCCACCAACTTTATTCGAAGCTGCTTCAAATCTTTCAACGGTTGCGTATATATAGGAGTCGACTGGTACGTGTAATCGGAAGGAAGGTCAGGTAGATACGATGGCACATAGCTGGGTTTCTTTCGTAAATTTGGTACCACAGCAGCAATAGCATTGTGCTCGTTTTGGAAAAATGGTAACGATTCAATACTCTCGTCTTGTTGCACCGCGCTTTCTTTCATTACATCTTGAATCTGCTGTCGATACAATTGGGGAAAATGTCTCGTTGTATCTATTTCATGTGCCAAGTCTCGAGTTGGGACATTGTTGAGCTTGAAAAGTATTCGTATGTCTGAAAGAGCTGGCTTTCGACGTCTTTGCAATTGGGCATACCCCAATAATTGAACCAACAAGTCATCTATGTAATTCGAGGCCAAAGCAACTAGCTGGGTAAGAAACAACTCTGTAACTCGATACTCCTTGAATTGTAACAATATCGCTATAACTTTAGTAAACTGAACCTCCTCCACAGGGGTCTGCCGTGAGAAATTCATGCCTTGACTTGAACCCAAAGGTAATATCAATACCTATTTTTCAATCTTTGTTTTTCTTTCTTTCTTTTTTTTCTTTTCAAAGCAAAAGAGATTGAGCACATAATTCAAAAAAAAAAAGGGACATCTACTTACTTTACTAATTACCATTCAACAAATATTCAATAGCTCCTTGTACACTTCCGCCTGTCCTTCTCAAGGCTTCAATGTTTCTATCGAAATCAAAAAAACCCATATCGTTCAATTGATGTAATTGGCTCTCATATCTTTCTTCTGGTGGTCTATTGTCTTGTGGAGCAGCTGGTTGTCCAAAAATATTTCCTCCGGCTGCATTTCCTCCAAATAACGCCACAGGATCAAAAGGTGGTACTCCGCTTGGGAACAACCCTGCAAATGGATTTGCTGCTGCAGCACCACCACTATTAGCATTAGTACCAACCTGTCTATTATCGGCGCTACCTTCTGAGGTCTCACTTGCTGCACCCTCTGTTGTCGGGTTAGCCCCTGGAGCTGGGAAGCTGCTGCCAAGTCCGCCTGCTGCTCCGCCAAAGAGGTTACCACCTGAACCACCACCTAGTTGCCCCATCTGCAAGGCAGATCTCATCAACTCGGGGTTGGTAAGCATCTGTCTAAATAACGGACTCTGCAACATTTGTCTAGCTTGTGGTCCCATTGCTCTAAGTTGAGGATTCTGTTGAATCATAAAGTCCAACATCTGTGGATTTGATAACATAGCATTCATTTGTTCCTGAAACGCTGGGTTAGACATAACCGAGTTCAACTCATCTGGATTTAGTGCGTTCGCATTCATTCCACCATCAGGTCCAAAAAGCGAAGCAGAAGGTAACTGAGCATATCCAGCATAACGTGCACCGGTGAGATCTGCCAATGGGTTAAATGATCCTTGTCCAGCGGCAATATTTGATGGTATATTTGATGCAGGCTGGTGCTGTAAGTTTGTTGTTGTAGTAGCTCCTGCTCCTGATGCTGCTCCCAACGACAGAGCAGCACCAGCACCGGCACCGGTGGCGGTGGCACCAGAATTTGCAGAAGTAGCATTAGAGCTCCTTACCATGTGGATTGTATGAGAATTCTGCACCTTATAAGATTCTACTGTTTGGTCATCCTTCAATACTTTACCTGAGTAAATTAAACGCTGACTCGAAGCAGCGATTGACGATTTCTCGGCAATCAATTCTTTCAACTCCAATATGGTGATTTTAGGATCAAACGTCACTTCATACTTCTTGTCTCCGGAAGACTTTATGGTCACTGTGATATCCGACATCTTCTTTTGCGTGATTCAATGAATGGAGAGAGAAAGGAAAAAGACAATTGCCACTAGTAAAGAAATTGTCGTTCTTTTTTTTCTTCTTAAATTGTTCTCTTTATTTTTTGTATACTCTTTTTTTTCTATATATGATAAACTTTGTTAGAGAATTCTTTCTTTCCCCCTAATAGTAGGACTCGCAGAGGGTTTATTAATACTTGATTATGGTGGTGCAGAAGATTTAGTAATACTTGATTATGGTGGTGCAGAAGATTTAGTAATACTTGATTATGGTGGTGCAGAAGATTTAGTAATACTTGATTATGGTGGTGCAGAAGATTTAGTAATACTTGATTATGGTGATTGTGAAAAGAGGAAATAAAGGGGTACCTATATGCTGAGATGATAACTAGTCATTGACTTCGACTCTCCATCCACATTCCAAGCAGCTGTATCCGCTCACATTGTCATCAAAATAGACTTTTCCCTTGCTTTGCATTAGTGACCATTCTCCCTTTGCAGGAATTTTTCTACACTTATCATTGAGACACCGAGCGGAAGTCTTCTTATACCTCAATCCACACGAGTTGCACAATTGGCCTTCCTCTATAGACCACGAAGGTCTCCAACATGGCGATTGCTCCAGACCACAAGATATACAAACTCGCGTTGTTGTATTTTGATGATACTGATGATATTGAGAAGAATGTGAGGGCGGCGATGACATGGTTTCGGACCTTGCTTTTGTTTTTGTAGATAGGGGGGTAATTGGTATGAATTTGTGGCTCGAAATGACATGATGCTGCGAAGGTGTAGCCTCAATCGGCTTCATTCGATGATGTTCTTGTACAGGAGGAAAATGCTTAGCGGGGATATATGAAAGAGTCTGAATGCTGGGTAGAGCAGCTGCAGTAGCGGGAACTGTCTCACAAGAGTATGAATTTTGACTTGTTTGCGGGAAACGCGACGAGTGCTGTGGCACACTGGTTTGGTAAATGTTAGCACTAGAATGAATTGGGGTTCGAGGCTGCCGTTGTGGTTGTTGTGGTTGTGGCTGTTGTTGCTGCTGCTGCTGTTGTTGTTGTTGTTGTTGTTGTTGTTGTTGTTGTTGTTGTTGTTGTTGTTGTTGCTGCTGCTGCTGTTGTTGCTGCTGCTGCTGTTGTTGCTGTTGTTGCTGTTGTTGTTGTTGTTCCCTGGGGGCGACTTTCGAGTCCGATAATTTAATCAATGATTGTGCCAATTCTAGATACTCAGGATAGTTTTGAACATCTTTCATATAAGTTTGGTTTAAATACGTATAATTTGACTCGAAAGGAAAATTTATCCTTTTATTTCCTGTGTTTTCACCAAATCCATGATTGACTGTTGTACTACTTGGACCTTGAGGAGATGTTGGATGCTGTATTTTAGTGCTGATTTTCGAGTCGAAATGCGGTTTGTTGCTGGGTTTTATTTTGTTAAGGTAGTTGTACTGATTCAAGTGGAAATGCTTAGAGTCTTTAGTGATTTTATCCAAGAGTTCATACCTCCAGTTTTCATCGTTTGGTTTGTAAGTGTCGAAATAGTCCAATGAAACTGTGGGGATAATAGGCTCGGGTCTTGAACCTAAACTTGAAGTATTTGTTATTGATGATTTAGGGTTATTCAATGCGTCAGATATACTTGGTAATTTTAGTTTTATTTTTTCTAGTTTGGGAGAACTTCCGGGTGAAGTCAGTGAGGAACTGGAAGAAGCTAGCAAGCTGACCAACTTATTTGATGGAGACAGTGAACAAGATTTAGATGGAGAACCCATGGAGATTGAAGAAGATGCATTTGGTTTCTTAAGAATGTTGTTAATAATTAGCTTTGAACTGAAATTTATTGTTTTTAAATCATATGATTGTGGTGGCAGTGGAGGTGATGATGATAATGGAGCCGTTTTAAATCTTTTGCCGGACATGTTTAAATCGTCACTGAGTGACCTTTTATTTGATTTATATAAAGTTTTTCCTTCTTCATTTTTCAAATCGAAACTTTGAGATCTGGTTTGGGGTACTGTGTTTAAATGTTTTTCGATAACCATTGCTTGAACCAAACTCATTGTATTTTACAGTAAGCCAGATGGAGATTTTAAAGTGATCAAAAGGAAAAGCGGGCAGGCAAAGGGCAAAATAGCTGGTTCGATCTTAGGGGGTTGGCGGGGGGAAGGGACTTGAAGGAACTTTTTATGGAATACTTTAGAATTTTTTTCAATTTTCGCAACAATTTTGTCTTTTTAAAATGAGTTGATATCAATTCCCACGCAAGTATAAGGACACTTTAAATTTTTGTTGTGGCTAAGAGAGCGGGATTATATCGAAGGGGGAAGGGGGGGAGAGAGATTATGGATCTTGATCTTGAATTTTTTTTTTTTTTTTTTTTTCTGAAAGAAATTTGAATAACTTATATATGTAAGGGAACAATGCCCAATTGCTAGTCAAATAAGAAAAGAGGATTTAGGATGTTTTTGATAAGATGTTTTTGGCAAGCCATTTCTTTGTTAAATCTTACAATGTCCAAAAAAAGAATAGCTCGAAACTTTCCATCTTTTTAACTCAATTCCTTCGTATTTTTTTTTTTATTTTAGGCTTTTTTGTTTTGTAATATTTTTTCATATCTTTGTGTCGACGACATTTTTTTAAGATTATAACAAGCACAATTTAAGGAGATTGTTTATCGAATAATGGTCAGATCTAGCAAATCACCAACAATCAAACCCCGTGTATAATATTTGATTAATTTTACTATTTACAGCCCAAAGAGAGAGAAAAGAGAGTACTGGAGGTAATTTTGTTTTTATCTAGGAGCTGATGATATATAATAGTATATGAACGAGCCATTCAAATAAATAAGAATTGGAAGAAGGGGGGGGGAGTGTGTTGATCACCTCTTCAAATTGATAGCCGTGACTAGTAGCATAAGATTTATAGAGAATCATTTAATTACCAGATTCAGATTGATTTGTTCTTTTTTGAGAATTTTATTGCAAGCAGAAAAATTAAAAAAAAAAAAAAAAAAGACAAAGAAAAAATGATTGCATATAGAGAGCCATCACAAAATCAACAATAACGAGTTTTAATTGTTCTACAACAAGAAAGGAAGGTGGTTAGAGTTTGGAGTCAGATCAGTCGATGGGATCAATAAAAGCAATTCATAATACGGTGGGGGAAAACAAACGAGAACGCATAATAAAGTTTTAACCAGCCCTTACCAAATATGGAGCAATTACCTCTCAAAATGGCATCAATTTGTTAATTAATCTTTTTAGGAGATCTCCTTGCACTTAGGGGTATGAAACAAATCTATGAGAGAGTCAAATCGGAAATTTATGTCCTAAATTTATTTTATTTACGACAAACACGACAAACATAAAATCCAATTTTCTTAAAGAAAAAATGTCAAGCCGACATTTTATGAGCTCAACCTTAACTGATAACTTTTATCAAATTGTATGAAAAAAATCATAAATTTATACCAAAAAAAATCATTTTTTTTCCTCCACTATTGGGCAGAGCGAGATAGTCTTGTAACAAGCTGCAAAGTGTTGCTCTACTATCGACACTCTCGAGCAAAGCGAGATAGTCTTGTAAGAAGCTAATCAGTAACAGCTACCAAGTGTCGCTCGAAAATGTTGTAGTATTTTCTTGTCGAGATTTGTACCAAAAAAATGCCTCTAACAATCGAAAATAAAAAAATCTTAGATTTAGGAAATTGACATGAGAGATAAGACCATCTTTCATATAGAAGTAAATTTTGATTATACAAACATAAAATGGAAATGCAATATCTAATGCAATTGGAGAAGAAAAAAAAAATAAGAGAAACATTCATCATAAATGAACTTTACCTAGAAAGTTAAAGAGGTTTTCTGCTAAAGCAAGAAAACTTTAGACAACCCAACCTCTGGATCTGTGTAATGATATATCAAACCCTGCTTCATCAATAAAGATGCACTCTAAGTAGTTGGTTTTCATGTCAATTAAATCTTTCACAAATTGATGTTTCAATTCCAATTTTTCCTCCGAGTTTCTAGCACTACTCTCATGACGTACCTATTTAGATGAAAATTTACAATCCTTTTTCACAAATTTTCTTAACCTAGGTATTTCCTATTTTGAGGTTCCCCAAACAAATTGGTCAATTCATTTCAAGCATCATCAATTGTTGCAGCTGGTTTATTAGCGGAGCAAAAGCGACGCTAGTGGTTCTCTAGTATAACTAAAATCCAGATTATCGTTCTTTCTATTTGATCTTTTCTAGAGACTGGACTCGCCTCGCTCTTCTATGGATCTATCCATATCGGCATCCTCGTCAAATGTGTCTGCAACCTGTTCTTTCACATCAGGGTCCATTCCAAACACACGGGGTTTGATAGTAATTGAAATCAACTATTGAGTCCAAAGGTGGTGCATTCGCTGTTTCATGTTCATCTATTGTTGGTTTCCCGTTTTCATCAACATCTCGAAAAATGAAACGAAATGACATTTGATAGCGATACTATCGAGCGAAGCGAGATGGTGGAGCAGTACTTGGTAGCAACACTGGGCCCCTTGTAAAGAGTAAATTTGCATGATTACAAATTTGCAAGTAAATGATTTTCACAGGTCTAAAGGTATCAAGCTCATTTTTAGAGGTCTAAAGGTATCAAGCTCAGTCAGTGGCAGCTAGTCATTGCTGCTCCACTAGCTCTTTGTGCTAGTGTCGCAATTTAAAATTAGATTTCTATATAGTAGCAAGTAGATTATTATATATACAACTCTATAGTGTCGAAATAGTCAGTGTGCTCCACTATCTCGCTCTGCTCGATAGTGTAAAACAACCCTATAGTGTCGAAATAGTCAGTGTGCTCCGCTATCTCGCTCTGCTCGATAGTGTCGATAGTAGAGCAACACTTAGTAGCTTGTTACAACACTATCTCGCTCTGCTCAATAGTGTAACTTCTCCATGTAAAGATTAATTAAATAAATAGATTCTTTTGTAATGTATAATTAAGAGAGAATTGTTAATTATAGACTTTACTAAAGAAGATAGACAAGATAATTAATTAGAAGCTACTCGGAAGAAAAATAACTCCAATAAATATACAACCAATGACACACGGGTTTATAGAATACGACACACCGGAATTGATAAATTGTATATATCGCCACTTACACTATGCAATATGAATTATATGCATACAAGTGGGGGGTTAATATTATTAATAATAGTCTATACCCGGAATTGAATAATTATCAATTAATAATGACTTAAATAATCGTGTAGTCTATATTGTATATATTGACATACCGGTTGATTATAATAATATACTCATGCATATAATAACTCAACGATTTGAAATATAATAAAACTATACTAAAATTTTACAGTGCTTATTCCTTGATATAATAATTTTATCTATACATAGATTATATAATAAAGATCTATATATTAAAAATTTAGATTCTAATCATTAATTACATTAATGTATTAAAAATAATAGTTGTATACCCGGGGTGGTATACAACAAATGAATTCTATATTTATGTCTATTCTTGTCTATATATAGATTGAAATAAGATTGTATATTTATAGCGACACTAGCTCGAAAAGCTAGTGGAGCAGCAGTGACTAGCTGCCATGGACTAGCTGCCACGGACTAGCTGCCACGGACTAGCTGCCACGGACACTTTGTAGCTTGTTATAACACTGACTACACCAACACTATCTCCACTATCTCGCTGTGCTCAATAGTGTCGCCTGTCACTGACTGCCAGATATATCGAGTTCATTTCATGGTGAGTAGATTTCAAGAAAAGCTGATTTTTGATATTGGTTTAATTTTACCTATATATGATGAATATGAAAAATATTCATAAACTCAGTCAGTGGCAGCTAGTCACTGCTGCTCCACTAACTCTTCGAGCTAGTGTCGCTTTTGTCTCTCAATCATGCTCCTATTCCATATTACCGCAAAAAGATGGTTTGGGTTAGAAGATACAAGATTATTATTGAGTAAAAATGAATTTGGAGGTGAAGAATCAATAATTATATTCAATCAAACCCGTGTGTATGTGTTTGATTGCTCCACTATCTCGCTCTGCTCGATAGTGTAAAATGTCGAGTCAAGGTGCTTTCGTTTGATGTAGAGAATCATAGAGGTAAAAACTATATGCAAAGTTGCATGATAAAATTTCTTTGTAAAAATTTGATTCTACTCTTATCAGTATCTCTATTTCATCATCTACTTTGTATCAATTTTTTCGCAGCTATAAGTTTGCTCACATTCATGATACTTCACATTCTTGCCTAGGCGCTAGTCCAGCACTTATATGATCCATACGATCCTCATCATAAGGTTCATCAGTAAACCCACGAATATTTCCACCAGCAATAGTACCTCTATGATTATTATCAAGAATTTGAAATTCAAACATATTATTAGGTAATCCATTTAATACACAACTAACTTGATGGTCAATTGTTCCATAATCATTGCTTGTTGATAATATACCATGATCTGCGTCATTAAATAAGAAAGTCATTTCTAACCCACCAGATGTAAAATCTTGTTCATTGAATTGTTCACCCCTTTTCCTTTTGCCATTGTTTTCATATTTTGATTGATTCAAAAAGCCATGATAAATTCGACCTAAATCGTGGCTCCCATTATTATAAGCTTTTATCAGACCAAGGACAGGAACCCCAGCACTATTATTGACTGTATATAACAATCCTCCATCATAAAATTTACTGAACAATGGCTCATGATTGTAATCAATTAAAATTGAATGCGGTAACCCTGTGATATTTGTTAAAATCGATTGAACTGTTAAAACATGAGTGGCAATATCTGTTATATCTCTTTTCTTAAAACCAATTGCTCTAGACCAAGCTCTAATAACTTCTACCGCTTTTTTGATTTGAGTTCCTTTAGCATAACCAGCCCAACCAGCACCAGCAATTGTTACCAACGTAGAAATGGCACCATAGATACAACCACCAACAGCAACTGCTCCATTGTCTCCATTACTCCAATCTTGACAAGATTGAGCTAATTGCCATAAAGCAATACCTGTTTCTACTACTTTAAAAGCAGCCGCAAAAACAAATCATACCCATCTTTTCTCCTTCGTTGAACTGCTGAACTCAATATCACCAGAAAAAGTTTGGTTAGGTTGTGTAGGTTCTAAACGTAAGGCATTAATACCAAATGGTGCTTCAATTACAGGCTTTCCATATTTTGAACTAATTTCATCATTTCTTGTTATTACAGAATCTCTCTTGTTTAAGCTAAAATAGTTTAGTTTATTTCCATTGCTGATTGCACTGGAAATGAGGACCCCCAATAACAAAAGACCAAATACAGCGGAAATCAAGTGTTTAATGTTTTTTGAAAATTTAGTTTTTTGCATTGTGTTTAACTTTGATTGCAAGTGGTGAATCTTTGGCTATTTCAAAAAGGTCATATATAGTTACTTATATAGTGAACCAAGTTTTTATAGAGTGTAGAGATGGAATAATATAGAGTGTGGTATAAGGTGGATGTAAGCGATGTTGTATAAAATTGCAACAAGCGAAGTTGTATTAAATTGCAACAAGCGGAGTTGTATAAAATTGCAACAAGCGGAGTTGTATAAAGTGTATGGTTCTACACGTGGGGAGAAATGTATGTGGTGTAATATAGAGTGTGGGTATAGGTGGATAGAGTGTAGAGATGGTGTGATATATCTCTTTAATGGAGGAAGAAGTTGAGTTAACAAATAATTTGCAGCCAAACATGGTATTGCGCAAGAAGTCTCATTACTAAATATTTTGCGGCCAAACATGTTAAGGCGAAAGAAGGTTCATAACTAAACATCTTGCAATCAAACATGGTAAGGCGGAAGAAGTTTTATCATTAAACATTTCGCAGCCAAACATGCTATAGCGGAAGAAGTTTAGCTAATAAATATTTTGCAGCCAAACATGTAAATAATGATAATGTAGGTAAATGACACAAAACCAAATATCAGGGCTGCAGGGTAAATACGAGAGGAATAAGAGGGGTTGGAGGAGGTGGTGGTGTAAAGTAGGTGTAAAAGTTAGTTCCGTGGGATACTAGGGACACAATTGTTTTAGTTGGCATGCTTTTTTATGGCAAAGAAGGAGAGAGGGGGTATTTGGAGGAGAAAATGATTTGAAATTGATAATATAATAATTATAAACTTTAGAGAACATATTTGGACGATATAATGATTGAAATTGATAGTATAATAGTTATAAACTTTTAAACAATAAAACATCGGTGAAAATGTAAGGTTCAATACATTAAAAACATAAGGCAACTCTGCCTTGTAGTGATTTAAATTGCATTGCTTGATTCAAAATGAGAAAAAAATGTGTCACGAGAATTAACATTATTAAAAAGTTGCACAATAAACTAATTCCATCTTTATAATGTGTTTTTACCAATAATTGACGTATTATAACAGTGAGGAGTTTTATTACATGGATTAACTCTCCACTATCGAGCAGAGCGAGATAGTGGACAGCTAGTCAGTGTGTAAACTATATTAATTATATATGACTAATATTAAATTGTGCTCCACTATCGAGCAAAGCGAGATAGTGTCGGTGGCAGCTAGTCGGCGTTGGTGGCAGCTAGTCAGTGTGCTCCACTATCTCGCTTCGCTTGATAAGAAAAAAATCTCCAAAGTTTTTGTTTTAAAAACCTCCAAGTCTATCTTGTATTGCATGAACATCGTTATTTAACTGTCTGATTGAAATCAAGCAATAAAGTAACCAACCTAATAAAAGAAATCCATATATAAATATTACCAAAAATTTTTTATCATCTGTTGATAAATTATTCAAACGACTCGACATTTGGGCAGAGGATCTTTGATTGAAGCTGAAAGGAGAGAGAAAAATAGAATGACAAAAAAAAAAGCACTTTGGTTAAATTTTGAATCTTGATATTTATTTGATTTCAAAAGTTATTCAAACACAACTTCTGATATTTTTTGTATTTACCTTTTATATGAAATTCTGTAAAGATGATACTTATCATAATTGTACAAGATGTGGTGAATTTAGATTTTTCGGGAATTCTTGCAATTGTTAAAAATCATTCAGAGTCCACAAAAACAATTTATAATTACACCATGTAGCGTTAAAGCCATATACTAACAGACTGTTGCGCGGCCCAAACTTTGCATCAATTCTTATGATGATGGATGTAATGTGTCCTATTCTTGTTTCCCTCTGGAATTTTTCAAATCTTGAGTTTGTGTGTAGAAACACTGTCTGAATCTTATCAATAGATTGCTATTTATTTTAGTGCTTCCATATACCCCAAATTCCGTCATTTGATGAAATTCGGGACTAGAACAATGTAAAGCGCGAAAGAGAGAAAGAGGGGAGAGAGAGAGGGGAGAGAGAGAGAGAGAGAGAGAGATACAAAATCCTGTCTTCCTACTCATCCTCTTGTCTGTCCCCCATACCTTGGGGCACCACATCTAGGTCTTTTTTTCAAGTAGACCGCTACCATTTCAAGCGTTGTTGAAAAATTATTCTCGAGCAGAGGTGTTGAACTTTTTTTTTCATTCATCATGGTAAACTATTGATTGGTTTATTGCAATAATGAACCAAGACCCAAGTATGTCAACTTCAAAGTAACAGACCTCGTTTCACTCAATCCTCCTTCCCCCGTCCCCTCCCCCTTTTTTTTACTTTCTTTTTCCTTCTCACACTAACCTTTTCCAAAGCACAGCCGATAGAACCGTTTCTCAAAAACCTTCTTTCTTCTCTTGATGCGCTGTATCATGCACCAACTCAATCGTTTACAAATGTGGAAGCCTATGCCACTCAGTTCGGGTCAGGTCTAAAAAGATCGTGCGCAATCATCATAAACGGTCAACCAATAATACCTTCCCCTACAGAAGACTCGAAATTACAGTTTCAAAAAAAATGGCTAGCTACTCCTATATCATCTCACCAGCTAACAAGCTATGATGGGCATTTAATACCCAGCACAAATATGTTTATTATCAATTTCTCAGCAAAAGTTAAATTTGATCAAAGCGGGAAAAACAGGTTGGGCGAGTCTGCCGATTTGGTGCAAGAGAATACGTTGGTGAAAAATGCAAGACCACTATGGGGTTCATGGTTTGGCGTTAATGTAAATTTGGTTGTGGATAACAACTTCACCGCCGGCGGCGAGATCATAAATAGCATGGACTACAGGTTTACATACGTGCCCAAGGATACTGTATTAAAAGTCTAAAATAAAATGAAATAAAATAAAAGAAATGTTCTGTACTGTTTTTCGTTCCAGGCTAGTCGGGGCTTGATTGCATCCAGTATTAACTAGCAAATAGTAACCAAATAGTAACTATTCAGTGTGCTCCACTAACTCGCTTCGCTCGATAGTGTCGCTATGTTATTTTATGCTAGGCCAAGTTTTGTTTTATATAATCGTTCAATAATGCACCCAAATAAACATTGGAATAAACATCAGGATTTTTGTTATCCACTCTGTATTTCAACTCTCTTAGAGCCCAGAGAACATTGGGTGTGATAAAGTCGTAGAAAATCAAGTCTATGTTGTGATCTGACTCATCCTCGAATTGGACGCTCTGGACGACGTTGGGAATTTTAAAATTAACTACACCCCTATGCAAAGTATCGTCACCATCAGAGCCAAAATCATCATGTGTGATGTAACCTTTTGTGAGCCTTGTTTTTGATTTTGAGCTTGATATGTCTTCAAGAAGAAGAAGAGGCTGTTGAGATGAAGCCTGGTTAAAATTCCACATATTCTTATTATTCACGTATTGCTGTGGCGGTTTCAACCTCGAGGCTGAAATATAACTAGCATCGTTTAACTTTTCGACAACTCGTGTGGCAACGGATTTGGGGACTGTTAAATTTACCCATTTATTTTCAAACGGAGAGACAATAAACTGTGAATCTACAGTGTATGGTCCTTTATACAAGTCATACCGTATTGATCCCGTGTTGATAATAATTAATCTTTCGCCTGAACCAGGCAATGTAGGTAAAACATGATTGGTGAGCAAATTCCAAATGCTTTTTGGATGGTCAACTGGCACATAATCCACATAATAATTCATGCTCACTGTCCCAATGAGATTATTCAACTTTAATTCTTCTCTTGTTGACTTGATCAACTTTGTCACTTCTCTTCCTTTAGGAGTGTCAAACGCTGCTTTGGATGTTTTGTTGCTATGCTTGAGAAATGAATCTTTGTTGAAATCAATGTATTTCCTTGCAAACCTCTCCTTTTCAGGAAGCTCGACATGGCTCATGTTTATACTGACCCACCCTACCGTTTCACTGTATCTACCACTTTGAATACCTGTTGATCTAGAATCAAATACAACAAAGTCTCTAATATGACTATGGCCACCAAAGTACTGAATAATAGTACTTGGATAAAACTGTCGTAAACGTTTATGCAAAGCATAGAACTCGGGCCATTCGTGTGCCACAGGTGTATGACCAGCAATGATAATCAAATCTACTTTGTTCTGGAATAGTTGTAAAGTATCTTTGAACCACAGTTTATTCATCTCCTCTTCAATAGACGTTACTCTGGTTCCCTTGTTGAATCTTTTGAAATCAAACAAAAACCCAAATACCAACACTTTCTTTTTCTGAACAGGTGTTTCAAAGTATCTGTACTTTGACCCAAAGGGCACAAACGTCCCATTTGCCAATTTATACTCTACATTGGAACACACATATTCCTCCGAAAAATGCTTCGCAACAACTTCAAACTCCATCTGGGAATTCTCTAAAAGATACAATTCATGGTTCCCAATCGTCAAGATATCGTAGGACTGTTTTATAAAGATTGGGGTAGATTTTAGACCATTCGGTGTGGTAATATCTGATAAGCCATTCCCATCATGCCTATCACCACAATCTATCAATAAAAAGTCTTGGCCTTGTTTACGAGAAATCTCTCGCTGATGAGTTACAAAGGATACAAAGTCTCCCCAATCGGCATTATACTGGTTCTGATTAATATGACCCGAATACCATCCGTGTGTATCCGTAGTATGGAGAAAATTGATATCGTTCCATTTGAGACTCCTAATAACGGGATCCGTGTGCGTGCTTCCACAAAGCGTAGATAATGCAATGAAAACTACTCCATAAATAACACCTATTCCTATCATAAATCTCATTAACAGATAAGTCTAGATAAACAAATCATGGAGGAAAAAAAAAAGAACAAACAAAAAGAGAAGAAGGAACTTGAGAAAACATCTTATCAGTAGTGGGCAATTGGCCAAGCCAATACCCTACATTACTTCCCCCTTTAATTCTTTCTTTTTCTTTAATCGATATTAACCAAATCTTTATTTTTACAAGTTTTGTTCTCTACAAAATACTAATTAAATACCAAGTTGAGCTCTTCTTCTGTCTCTTTCTTCAGTGATTGATAATTTAATACCTTTACCTTTTGGTAATGAAACCCAAGGTTTACCAGCTTCTTCTCCAATGACGAAAACGTTGTTTAATCTAGTAACAAAAGTGTTTTCCAAAGCATCTTTAATGTGAACAAGATCAAAACCTCCTTCGTGTTTTTCTCTGTGAACAATTACACCAATTCTACCCATGTTTCTACCACCAGTAACCATGACTAATTTACCGGTATCAAATTTAAGGAAATCAGTGATTTTTCCAGTAGCCAAGTCAATCTTAACTGAGTCGTTAACCTTGATCAATGGGTCTGGGTATCTGATGGTTCTACCATCGTGTGTAACAACATATGGAATACCCTTTTTACCTAATTGGACCTTCTTGACTTTACCCAATTTGTAAGCAGCTTCTTCAGCAGAAATTCTGTGCACGGTGAATCTACCCTTGACATCGTAAATTAATCTGAATCTTTCATTAGTGGCTTCCAAAGTAATGACATCCATGAAACCAGCTGGGAATGTAGCATCGGTTCTTACTTTACCATCAACTTGAACATGTTGTTGCATCATGATGGCCTTGACTTCCCTACCGTTCAAGGCATACTTCAATCTGTTTCTTAAGAAAACAATCAATGGTAAGGACTCTCTCAATTTGTGTGGACCTGGAGACGATCTTGGAGCATAAGTTCCGGACAATTTGTCCAACATCCAATGGGATGGTGCTGCTAATCTTTTCAAGTGTTTCTTTGGTCCTCTTCCCATGGTCCTTTGTTGTTATTGGTTCCTATTAACTGGCAAGTAAGTAAGCTTAGGCAAAGCTTTTATTACTATTAATGTAATTTTTTTTCACTACTAGACAAAGGAGGGGAAGGTTGGAATGTGCGCGAGAAAAATTAGAATGGGTCAAAGCCCTGTGTAAATGAATGTGCACGTGACTTAACCGATAGCTTATTGAGCAGAGCGAGATAGTGCAACAACACTGACCTCTTACATATATAGCTTAGACGTGTAAATGTTCTTCACACACTGACCTCTTACATATATAGCTTAGACGTGTAAATGTTCTTTGTAAGGGATTGATATAAATGTTTTTTGTAGGGAATTTATATAAGAAGGTATGTGTATGTAAATATGTGCTTTTTATAGACATTGAGCATATATATACATATAAGGCAGAGACAAGTTCAGCAGCAACAGCAGCAACAGCGACTTCCAAGTCATTTTAACCACATTGTTCCCAAGGAATATACCAGCACTATCGAGCAGAGCGAGATAGTGATGTAACAAGCTACAAAGTGTTGCTAGTAAGTGCTGCTCCACTATCTCGCTCTGCTCGATATTGTTTTAACAAGCTACAAAGTGTTACTCCACTATCTCGCTCTGCTCAATAGTAGACAGCTACAAAAGTGTTGCTCGATAGTGAAAATCAAAACTAAATTCAACGATAACTAATTTCTATCCCCATTTAAACCAAGCAGTATTTGTTTTCTTCAACTGCTGATCTAGTTGATTATTCTCTTCTGTCAATGCGTCAAGCTCATCTTCCAAATTTGCTGTTAACTCAACCTCTTGGGCATTTACCGATAGTAGTTCTTTTATTTTATCTTCGATAGCACTAGGAACTTCGTGGGCATCTTGCGACTCCGTTTTTGATTCCAACTCCTTGATGTTTTCTTGCAACTTGGCGATACTTGACTTTAAATCATTATTGTCATTGATAACCTCGGGTAAAGTCACTTTTAGATTCACCATCTTCTGCATTACATCAACATGATCTCTATCCAAATTCGAGTATTGGAATTCCAAATGTTTCAATTGATGTCTAAGCTTGCCATTTTTAATTTTCATGTTGTTGATATCTTGTAATTTTGCCTTTTCGTCATCATAACATTTATTGAATCTGTTTTCAAACTTTGCTAAATCTAAGGGATCGATATTGATTTGCATTGAATCTTGGACCAACTGGTCAAGCATGTAGTATGATGTGGACCCAGCTGGAATAGAAGAAGACATAGAAGTTGAAGCTGTAGGTGATGAAGCACTGGGAATTATTCCAGATGATCTTCTTGATAGTATAGAGCTAAATCTTTTTGCTGAGCTGCTCCTTCCTTCATCTTTTGACTTTATGAAATTGGGATTAACGTAAACGTTGAACAACTTTTCCTTTAAGAATTCCAATAGCTTATCAAATGACAATGCTAGCAAACTATCCTCATTTTGCACCATCAAGTTGATTGCAAACTTTAGTATTGATTCCATTCCTTGCGTGATAACAACATCATATATTCTCAAAACAATATCCAAGGGGAACTTGTAAGCAAAAAAAGTGAGAAACCATTGGCTCGCATACATGGATGATTTTATTCCCTGTCTCACAAGATGGTTGTACAATGCAGGGGTATGCAACGCCAACAAGCTATCAAACTGGTATATTAGTAAATGTAGCCCTTTCATTTCAGGACAAAACAACTCTCTCAATTTGTATTCTTTCATCAACAAGACCAAAAGACAAAAGCATTCACTTTCATTCATATTCATAATCAATGGCACAGCAATGAAAATCATTCCTTGTGTATATCCAACATCGGGGTCATACAAGGAGTACGCTTTTATAACATTAAACAATTCATCCGCTTTATTCACTGCATCAATATTTGTGAAAAAGCTCGTCCTTGTCAAATCCCTTTTGATGGCCTTTTCGTGAATCGATGGTTCTTGTTTCATTAAGCGGTAAAGATCTTCCAAGTTTGCATCTTTTGACTTTGTTACTATTTGCCAAATTATCCCCCTGATCTCACTAGGTATACCTTGAGTAATTAGCTCGTTTAATTGTTGCAAACGGTTGTTGACTATGAAGTCGTAGTCCTCAACAACCAGTGTCCAGAATTCCCAATCAATCTTGTATGGAGAGTGCTCGCCATTAATGCCTCCTACAATGCTTTTGATATTGCTAAAAGTGCTCTTGATATTTTTGGTTCCATCTTCTATAGTCTTTTGGGTATTTGAATCCTTGTCGCGGAATTGAAGGGAAAGAATATTGTGCTTGGATTGGAGTAGATAATTGGATGTAGTCTTGTCGTAACTGCCCAGCACCGCAGATAATTTTTCAAGATTCTCCAAATTGTCTTCTTTTAGTGACTGGGGCATAGTAGCGTCCAATTGCAAACACATTTGTATGGGCTCTCTCGACGGTAATTGAACATTATGTACGATTTCTGAAGGTGATTGTAATGGTGGTGGTGTTACGGAATGGGGGTCAATATCCGTTTCAATTTCCGGATTCTTTTCTGTTTCTGTTTCTACTTCCGCTTGTGTCAGATTTAATTCTGGCCCCTCCTTGACATCATCCAATGTATTTAAATTAATCTCAGCTGCGTCTTCGTTACCATTTTCCATTTTCGTGGAAAAGGCAATTGGGTAGTATTCAAAGTATTGGGTTTTTTTTTGTCTTTTTTGTTAACAAGTTGTTCGCAACGGAGGTTTATCAATAGAAAGTCCTTACTATTATTTTTTCTCTCCTGTTTTATTATAAAGAGATTAATTGTTACCCCTTAAGACACTATCGAGCGAAGCGAGATAGTGGAGCAGTACTTGATAGTGTTGCTATCAAACTACCTCTCGACACTAGCTCTTGTTATTATCTCGCTCTGCTCTCGACACTAGCTCTTGTCATTATCTCGCTCTGCTCTCGACACTAGCTCTTGTCATTATCTCGCTCTGCTCGATAGTGTCGCAACACTAGCTGCCGACACCCACTATTAGTATAGTTTCCAACATAAGTGAATAGACTTCTTTGTACATCCTGTCGCCTATGCAGTTGGTCAGTGTGCTCCACTATCGAGCAGAGCGAGATAGTGGGCAGGTAGTCAGTGTTGCTATTAAGTGCTGCTCACCATCTCGCTCTGCTCGATAATGGGCGATAGTGTCGTAACAAGCTACAAAGTGTTGCTCCACTATCGAGCAGAGCGAGATAGTGTCGTAACAAGCTACAAATTGTTGCTCCACCATCTCGCTCTGCTCGATAGTGGGCGATAGTGTTTTAACAAGCTACAAAGTGTTACTCCACTATCTCGCTTTGCTCGATAGTGGGTACCTGTTCAAGTTCAAAATGCAAACATATCTCATTAAAGGCAAAAAAATCAAAAGCAAACATAACTTTATATAGCTTTTTTACCTTTATAAAAATCTATCATAAAACTAAACAAAATAATGTGTGTATTAAAAAACACAGGGAAAGTCATAAAAATCACATATCAAAAATTAAATCAAAATTGTCATTGGCAGATGAAGCTACTTTAGGAACAGCTGGCGAAAGGAAGTTGAAAAAAGAGTTTTGGAAGTTGGTATTAGACATTTGTATTTGTGGTCTTTGTGGCGATTGAACAGGAGATTGCTGCTGTGACTCTTGTTGCTGTTGTTGCTGTTGTTGTTGCTGCTGTTGTTGTTGCTGTTGCTGCTGCTGCTGCTGCTGTTGTTGTTGTTGTTGTTGTTGTTGTTGTTGTTGTTGTTGTTGTTGTTGTACAAATGTATCTTCGTCAATATTAAAATCCATCTTCTCTAATTTCATTTTCTTGTAGGATTTTGGTTGTTTCATTTCTTCATCATAAGCCTCATCATTATTCCAAGAACTCAAACTAAGTATTGACGACGGCGAAGTCAATAACGAGTTTTCAGTGGTTGTGTTTAACGATGGCTGGAAAAGTGACGATGAGGGTAGATTAGCTCCACCACCACTCTGTTTTCTAATTTGATTGGGCACAGTTGCATTATTGCCCAGTATTTTTGAACCATTGTCCATAGTAAGATCATTGCCAAGATATGTTTCAAATAGGTCTTTGCTTGGTACAGACGTTGGTCTTGTTGGTATATTGTTTAATTCGAAATCATCCATAATCTCTTGTTTTATCTTATACCTGTCACCGGGAAACATATATTGGGTTGAGTGATTTGGATGGGACTTTGATTGAAACAAAGGCAAAGAACACGTGTTGTTCAATGCATTTTCAAAAACAGGGGGTGATTGGGTTAGCGATTCTGTACAAGATGCAATTGGTTCTTGTTCTACTTCCTCATCGAATTTTTTTTTTGAACTTGCCACTGACGTTACTCTTGATGATGATGATGTTGATGATGATGTTGTTGTCGTTGTCGTCGTTGTCGTTGTCGTTGTTGTTGGTGCTTGTGCTGGTACTGGTGGTGCTGTTATTGTAAATTTGGAACCATTTTCCAGGTTCATATTTTGCAATTGCTCTTTTATCGGTTTTAATAATTTTTCGTAATCTCCATCAAGTAATTCATCTACTCTATAGTTATTAGGCAAAACCCAAGTAAAGATTTCTTCCAATTTGTGAAGTTTGTTTTCTACGTCGGTCAAATGAGCTCTAGTCAATGGACTCCTTACGGTTCTTGGACTATAGGAACAGCACCATTTGTGTTGTATACATTTTGAACAACGTGGGTACTCCTTTGAACATTTCAATTTGCGTTTTCGACAAGAATCGCAAGCTTGCTCAATTGGAGGTGGCGGAGCCTCTGCCGATGACGTAATTGGGTACCTATCCAATTCTGTAAACAAATCCTGAACAAGTGTAGCTGACGAAGACGAAGAAATAGTTTGGTTCATTGTTTCTGCTGGCATCGTGAACTCGGGAGAATTCGATTCAGATTCCAAACAAGTGAGTAAAATTGATTTTTGATAGCTTTGATCAAATTGTTTTGCTTGTTGGCGCTTATATTCAACAGGTATATCTTTGGAATCCATAACGATTTATTCAATTAAGATATTTCTGGGGTTGTCTTGGTTTTTTTTGGTTTAAAAATTTCAAAATTTTTGTTAGCAATGGGTGAGCTTTTGAGATCTTCAATTATGTGGAGTAGAAAAGCAAACCTCCTAAATATACTCAAGATTGGGCGGAAGAAAAGAAAAATTTGATTGTCAAATAATATTAATAATGAAATGCAAAAAAGAAAATAAGATCTATGGTAAAGTATTAATAATAAAGTACTTTATATCTTTGCTATTGGAGTAATTGGAGTACAAGTGTTTCAAGTAAGTTTTGCTTGAAAAAGCTGGGGGGGTCGTGTTGAAGAAAAAAGCTGGTTTAGTTGCTTGAAGAAATAATTATGTCTTTTATCGTATCAGATTGGCATAAAGTTATACACATTGCTACAACGTGTGTAAATGTATGTATATATATATATATATACATAGACGCCTATATATATTACCTCCGATGAAAGATTATATAAAGTATATAGGTTGAAATGCAACCTAAATAATTTATTTAATAATTTTTCATTTGCATCAATTTTATTTTTAATTTTTTTTTTTTTTTCAAGACCTTGTACAGTTTAAGAGGAGAATGATCACGTTACATAAACATCATCTGAGATCTTCGGTTACTGTATAGACCTACCATGAGCGTAAATGAGTGATTTTTTAGTGATTTTTGTTTAGCTTTGCATTTACTGTATAACTTTGAAACAAGGGATTAGAAGTAATGAATTATAGTTGACGATAAGTTTAATGAATCAGCCAATAAATTAGAACTTTTGTCTTTAAAAGTGTGTGTGTTGTCTTGCCCTTTTTTTTTTTTTTCGCATCCGTTAACTCCTGAAATATACACCCCCCTTCTTTCTCGAGTTATCGCTTGCTTTAGATACATTCTCCATCCTTTTCAAAGAGAAAACTCCAGTATTATAATATTTGAGGTCTAAATAATGAATAATTATCTTTGATTCTTTTTTTGACAAGCTTGAGATGAGAGATGAGGGGAAAGGTTGTAACTAAAGCAAAACTACTACTTTTACTATTACTATTACTTTTACTAGTATTACTACTACTCTACATCTTTTGATTTTAGAGGTTGGATACCTGATTCAACTAGATCAGCTGAGACTTGTTGTGTATTTGGCTCTGTATAGTTGTAATTTTGCATTAAAGAGCTTAAAAACCAAGAAGTTATTTTGTCTTCCTTGCTCAAAAAAAGGTTTTTTATTCTTTTTGTACGGCAAAAGAACAAAGCAGAGAGAAAAAAATTTGTTGGTTTCGTCAGTTGATTCTTTTTTCAAGTTGCTCAAAAAAGAAAAAAATAAAAATAAAAATAAAAATAAAAAAAAATAAAAAAAAACTCCGAATTGTCTAAATAAAATGTTGTTTTTCTATCAATTTATTCTTTTCTTCTTTTTTAGTCTCTGGAAAAACCAGTAGAACTGCTAATCACTGTCGAGTATTGCGAGAATAGGAGTTTCGAAGAAAATATAATTTTGAAAACGTGGCAATCAATTGAAATAAGACCGATTTGCAATATCATTGCATGATATTGACATGTACCATCCAGCCTACTTTTTGATATCGTTCTTTATCTACTGGGCTTTTTGTTTTTTTTCTCCATTTTGGTTCAAGTCTTTTTAAAGCCGAAAAAAAAAATAATGCACAATTTTGCACCTTAAACCCACTATCAAGCAGAACGAGATAGTGGAGCAACACTTTGTAGCTGCCACCCGTGTGTATCTGATTTTTAGAATACTTCACATTGCTGTTGCTCCTCCCTTTCTTCCCCTCTCCTTTCTCCTCGTTTTTGTATCCTTCTTGATAAAATCTGGCGCATCTTTTGATTTAGAAGAGAAAGAGGACATAAATACATTGCGCAATGCATCTTTCTTTGTTTTGCAAGAAAAAAAAAGGGGGGAGAGAAGAAGCCAAGTACGAACATTGAATTGTGATGCTGAGAAATTGAATTTTTTGCTGGGAAATTGGTTTTCACAATGCAGCGAGTTTGTTTCGTGTCATTTTTGTTTGAAAAAAATGCAAAATGCGTTGATTTATATCTCTGCGAGCAAATGTTGAACTTTCTCGATTTCAGCAAACCCCATCAAAATGTGTAATGGATTTAGGGTGAAACCATTTCTCCACCATTTCTCCACTATTTTTCCACCAATCCTCGATTAAACCTCCATCATTCCTCTTTCAAACCTCCATCACAACTTCCTCAAGACCGTCTCCCTCCGCCAAGCTTTCTTCTCACTTACGCTTGTATTGACACTACTACGTATATCTCTTCTACCTTCATTAATTTTCTCCTTTCGCCAATCTATATGTATCCCTTCATGCAATACAAAAGTGCATGTAAGATTAAGAAATACACATCAAGCACTAATTAGATGTTGCTGTTTTTTTTTAACTCACCTGTGTCATCGTGATTAAGAATACAAAGTATATACGGGGCTTGGTTGCATGAAAACTCGGAAGAACTTGAGTCCGTCATGTTTTTTTTCTAAAAAAATTGTTACTCGCCACACATGGATATCTATAATGCAAAGATACACGTCTAGCTATTTGCACTAACAAATGTAACTGATTTACAATCCCTGTTCAAAACCAAAAAACACAAATAAGTGGAACCACAATTGGAAATGACACCATACTACAGTTGAGTGGAGGTAAATATATCCATGTTGAAAACATACCACTTGATTTCATTACATAGGGGAAGAAATTGGGCTTGTTGGAAAGTTGTACAAAAACTTTTGTTTTGGCCATTTTTCTCAACAAGAAAAAAAGGAATTACGATAGATTCAACATGTATGTTCTTTTTTGTTTCCGACAAAGTCCATTTTTACTTGAATTGGACTTTTGAGGCATTTTTTCATATTAAGAATTTTTTTTTCTTTTTTTAAAACATTTCTAGAAATGCGTACACTAATCATATGGTGTATGCAACACTAAACCTTACTTCCCATCAAGTAAGTTTAGGACGGCTCTAAAGCAGAAAAGGGAAAAAAAGCGAGCGATGAATGTAGTTTTTATTATATATTTTTTTTCTGATGAAGAAACGAGATCTCGGAAAAACTCCCTCATTTGGTTTCCACACAAGATTTGTTTCTACAAATTTGAAGTTTTTTTTTTTCTTTTTATTTTCTTTTTGCAACCAAATCAAAGCGTACGGTGGACACGGTGTAAACTCGACATATGAATGGTTTGAGTATAGATTCCACCTATTTGCTATCGTAGTTTGTTCAACGTTAAACTAATTAATGTGATAATCCTACAAGACAAACCCGTGTGTAGTACAAATAAACACTACCAAAATCAGTATGTATCACTATATGGGCTATTTTTAACAACGCTTATAATCTTGTTTAAGGTTTGCAGATTTGGGATCAACTTTAGTCAAGTTTTTCCAACCACCACCTTTTTTTCCCCACTTACGCCCCCTTCCCCCCTTCAAATAAATGGTACCTCCATTAGGTTACACCAAAATTTGATTCTTTGGTGTAATCAAGAATAACTCCATAAACAGATTTTATACAATAAAATTTTTACTCGTTAATGATTTAGATAGTACTCATAACTACAAATACTGGGCTATATTAAAAAAAAATTACTACTTCAAGTAGAGTCCAAGAACTTGAAAAAATAGTCAACTAAGCCCCCATGGAGAAAGAAAAACAACAGACCCTGTTTAATTGCACCCCGACATTTCAACACTATTAAGACCATTTTGTAACATATGAACCAATAGCGGTCAGTATATAAAGTTGAATAACAGGTTTGGAAAAAAAATACTCTTTATTTTCTTACTTTTTACTTTTGATTTCTCTTTTACTATGGTATATCTAACCTATTAGAGTTAACAATTGTATGCATGTACTAAATAAATCAATAGGGTAGTCATCAACAATTGTTTCATAACTGGCTGATACAAAGTTCCTTCATATCCTTGATGTCAAACGCTTATTATAACGATCCTCGCTGATACAAGGTTCCTTCATATCCTTGGTTTTGATAAGCCATCCCGGCTTTCTATTTTTTTTCTATGACCTTTTAGAAGTTAATAGATTCGGTTAGATAAATTATTCCCGATGGCCCATTCTTGACTCGACACTAGAACTCTAAATTTTTTAGAGTATTTTGTCCACTTTCTTTTGACTACACTTTGGTCCTTTGCGTACATACATAGGAATCTAATGCAGCAGCACACAAAATTGCGGTCTCACCTGTTTTAGTTTGTCTTTTTCTTTTTCTTTTTTTTTTTTTTTTTTTTGAAAGAGAAGCTTTTTACCATCAGTGGTAAATAAAGCATGAAAGCTTATAGGAAAAGTTCGGATAAATTATCATGTCATAATTTTTTTTTCTATATAGCCTCGGAAAAACCCGTTTTTAGAAGTTTTTCGTAAGCTTTTACAAATCACTATACATGGGGAAATCTTTTAAAACAAAAAAGAAATAAAAAAAGAAGAGGAGGGGATATTTGTCGTGTCGCAATTTACATGACAAATCGACACTATCGACACTATCGAGCGAAGCGAGATAGTGGAGCAATATCTAGTGGTAGTCCTATTTACACTATCGAGCGAAGCGAGATAGTGGAGCAATATCTAGTAATATTCCTATTTGCATTTCAAAATCGACACTATCGAGCGAAGCGAGATAGTGGAGCAATACTCAGTAGTAGTCCTATTTGCATTTCAAAATCGACTATCTCGCTTCGCTTGATAGTGAAGCAATATCTAGCAGTAGTTATAGACACTAGCCACCGAGACTGACTAGCGTGGAGGGCTCCATGCTTGGCTAGAACTGGCAATACAAGTGCTATAGACGCGGAGAGCTCCAAGCTTGGTAAATTATATTATTTTGCCCAATCTCTTTCAATTGAAAATTGAATACATTAGGGATGTTTTTAAAAAGAATAGACAAAACATCCAAAACCTGTGAATAGGTATATCTAAGAGCAGTAAACAGGTACATCCAAGAGCTGTGGATAGGTATATCCAAGAGCTGTGAATAGGTATATCTAAGAGCTGTAAATAGGTACATCTAAGAGCAGTAAATAGGTACATCCAAGAGCAGTAAATAGGTACGTCCAAGAGCTGTGAACAGGTACATCTAAGAGTAGTAAACAGGTACAAGCACTATTAATTCAATAGTTTTCTGATTAGAATATGCAAGGGCAAAAAATAAATCTCTTATCAGCTAGTTTAGTCTAGTCTAGCAAGGATTAGAGCCAAAGACTAAAATCCAAAACTAATACTCCACTATCGAGCAGAGCGAGATAGTGGGCAGCTAGTCAGTATTGCTCGATAGTCAGTATTGTTCGATAGTCAGTATTGCTCGATAGTCAGTATTGCTCGATAGTCAGTACTGCTCGATAGTCAGTATTGCTCGATAGTCAGTATTGCTCGATAGTCAGTATTGCTCGATAGTCAGTATTGCTCAATAGTCAGTATTGCTCAATAGTCAGTATTGCTCGATAGTACACTAGTCAGTGTCGCCAACACATTTTTACATAGAGTTACGATATCTCTTGATAATCTCGCTTCGCTCGATAGTGTCGATAGTGTCGATTTTGAAATGCAGATAGGACTACTACTAGGTGTTGCTACACTATCTCGTTTCGCTCGATAGTGTAAATAGGACTACTACTAGATATTGCTCCACTATCTCGCTTCGCTCGATAGTGTCGATAGTGTCGATAGTGTCGAAAGCGGGGTTTTTTTCCTCCCCATATGAGGGGGAAATAATACTAACTCCGGTTCATTTATAAAGCTGTTGGCAGATTCTAAAAATGGACTAATGAATTCACTAGTATTCCAAAATAGTAGCGAGCTCTTTGTATGAAAAATCATTTTGAGAGAAAACAGAGTTGGTATATGTTGACACAAACTTGTAGTAACCAGTAGTAGCTGGTAGTAGTAAATAGTACTTGGTATTTGGTTGTAGTTGCCACCAATAATCTGCTGGCAAGACCAACTACTACATGGGTAAAGTCGTGCACAAAGATTGAAATAGACACTTGTTTTAGATCTTGAGATGAAAAAAAAAAATGTTGCATTAATAATAAATTAAAATAAAAATAAAAATAATCCCAGTACACAAAAACCAACAGCGCCTTAACAAAAGACAAGTTTAAAAATCATCCTACATAAAAAAGAAAAGATGATAAAAAGTTGGTAGTAATAACACTAAGGTGTATAGTTGCAATTATTACCAGTAGCAACGGTATTAGTAAACTGCGGTAAACTTGTAGTATTATTGAAAGAAAACAATAGTGGGCCAAAAAGAAAAGTTACCACCACCTTTAAAATTCTTCTAGTTACTATTTCTTGAAAACTCTTTTAACTACAAACTCTTTTAACTACAAACTCTTCTATTTTTTATTTTTTTTTTTTTTTCCTTTAACTGGGCGCTTAATAATTTACTCCAGTTTTATTAATTCCCCAAATTTTTTTTTTAGTTTACTCATCTATTCAAAAGGAATATCATACACATATACATATACATCACTATTGCTTTTGGTAGGCCACAACGACACTTTGTATTGTAACAGGATATCATCAACTGACTCCTTTTTTACTATTTCAAAATAATGAACAATATTATTATGGTGGACCCTCAACAGGGATACCAATACCAACACCTTCACCAACAACTGGAACAACAACAAAAACAGCAGCAGCAGTACCACAAGCAACAGCCACAGTCTCATGAGCAGCAACAACAGCAGCAGCAGCTGTACCACAAGCAACAGCAACAGCAACAGCAACAGTCGCTGGAACAGCCTTTACTTGAACAGCCACGGTCGCTGGAACAGCCTTTACTTGAACAGCCATGGTCGCTGGAACAGCCTTTACTTGAGCAGCCTTTACTTGAGCAGCCTTTGCTTGAACGTGAACCCTCATTTAACCAAGGGCCCGCTCAGTTTTCTGCTACTACCCCGCCCCAATACGCAAACTCACACACATCATCTCCTTCAACCTTGCCTCCTACAAATACCACACCTACAAACTCTAAAAGCAAAAGAGACGGCTCGAGACCCTATAAATGTCCTCATTGTGACAAGGCATTTCATAGATTAGAGCACCAAACGAGACATATCCGTACTCATACAGGGGAAAAGCCTCATTTTTGCAAATTCTCCGGTTGTTCGAAAAAATTTAGTAGATCAGACGAGTTAACAAGACATTTGAGAATCCATACAAATCCAAATTCAAGAAAGAATAAAAAGAATGAAAAGAAAAAGAGTGATGCTGCCATTTTTGTATCACCAAAGAACAATAATTCCACTAATGGCGACGACACTAAAAGTATCCAGTTGGCAAATCCAGCTCCTGCCTCATCTCCACCTTCTTCGCCCCCTACTTCAACTAGCCAATACAAACGACAGCAGCAGCAGCAGCAACAACAACAACAACAGCATCAGCAGCAGCATCAACAACAGCATCAACAACAGCATCAGCATCAGCATCACGAAGAGGAAGAAGAAGAGGAAGAAGAGGAAGAAGAAGATGTGGTGGTGGTGTTGAAAAAAGTTAGATCACAACCACAGCCATTGACTCCTAATGCAACGCCGACTCTTAAAACAAAATCACGAAAGCAAGAAGATTTGTCTTCTTCTTCTCAGGTATCATCTTCTGATAATCAAGACTCTTCAATATCGATAGCTAGACATCCATCAAGTATAGATATATTGGTACTGGCGGCAACTCAAGAATTGAAGATTCTAGAGTCCTCGAAATCACTCCCTTCACTAACTGATCATTTCAATTTACAACCATCACCAATACGCTTGCCATCTTCAACATCATCATCACATGGAGAGAAAATCCCGGTAGCAACAAAATTCACATTTTCCTCTCACCATGATACAACATACCAAAATAGTGCAAATGCACATCTTTTTCCAGACACCATCAATCTCACATACTTATCCAATGTGGCCAGTCGGTTTTCAAACTCGTTTCCTAGAATGACCCCCTTGGTGGATGTAGCAAACAATATCAACTTGTCATTACCTAGTCGGAAAACTCATATTGCTCAAGATTCAGATATAGATTATATCAAGCAAAAGTTGAAAAAATCAAGACCTAACAGTCCCAAATTCTATCAGTATGGGAAAAATCACAGTTTTAATGGATTGGGTAGTAGCAATAACAGTAGTAGCGGCAGTGCAAATCACAATCACAGCCACAGTTACAACCACAATCAAATCAATAACCAACGTTCAAACCAAACTTTACCAAACTCACCTATATTGGGCCTATCTACAAACTCAACTCCTTTGATATCTGCTAGTAATAGTTGTACAAATCTTACTTTATTAGCAATGACTCCAGCAAATACCGCTCCTGCTATCAATACAAGCACTACTACGGGCGGTATAAATGCCTCATCAATAATAAAACCGACAACTCCTTTGCATTCAAAACCAACTACACCAAAATTATCGCCAAGTTCGAGCGAAGCATTACCAAGTTTTAAAAGTTTGAATTTACCTATGTGGTGAAATAATAGTATATATCTTTCTTTTTTTTTTTTTTACTAATAAAAAAAAAAAAGTGTTCATGTTTGTTCTATATTCCTATTGACCAAATCTCATTTTCATCTTCAATTCTATCACTAAATAGCGTCTCTTCATCTCCTCCTTGTTCAATTCTTTCTCTTTCCACATTTGCCAATCTCACCGCAACTCGTCTAGTATAATCGCCAATCGATCGAGGTACAATAGTATTTCCCATAACTGTAACAATCTCCTCTTTTCCTGTAAACCATTTATTAAAACCTTCAAGCCCTTTATCAACAATATGGAAAAGATCAAGGTACGCCTTTTCAGCAGCCAACTTGATTGGTATTATTGGGTCACGAACTGATTGGAAAACACTAGGAACAAGCAAATCCAAAAATTCTTCAGGAATTTTGTTCTTATGTGCAACACCCCTCACAATAATTAATGCTAGCCTCTTGGTGTCTGGCGAAGAAGAGTTTGGTTGGATAATCAAACTAGCCAATTGCTTAAATATCTTCTCTTGTAACGCAAACCCATCACCACTATCACAACCAATACCAGTATCATTACTCAATAATATTTTACCAATAGCAATTGTGGCATTGTCACTAATGTATGCATCAGTGGAATTCGAACAATTAATTACAAACTCAACAACACTCAAATTATCCTTGATTAAGTCAGGTGCATACTTCAAAAATGAATTAACCGCCAAGATGGAAAACTTTGATTGGTTATTCAAAATCCTCTTTTGCAACAATACTTGACTTTCATCTTTAGTCAACACATTTGCCAACGATCCCAAAAGTTTAGCCGAGGAAACAGAATCAATACTTTCATCTTCAACAAGCGATAAAAGACTCGTCTTTGAGGTTTCGTTTAAAAGCTCGCCTTTTGTCTCTACAACTGCCAACATACCTTGCAACATAGACGCTTTGACTCCAGCATCTTCAGTTGATTTAGCACTTGCTACCAACTCAGTGATTAAAGAATCAACTCTTGGTTGATGTTTGATCAAGGTGGCTAATGCAACAACTGCCCTTTTTCTCAAGGTGTCATTAGAAGCATCACTTAAACAACGTACAAAAGTTCTTTGCAACTGAGGAATAAACGCTCTCAAAAATTGTGGAATCTTGATCAATAGGTTGTTCAATGCAACTAATATGGCAGACTTGATATTTGTAGCAACCTTTTCTCCAATAACCCTTATCATTGGACCACTGATTACTGTTGCCAACGATTTCAAATTCTCGGCCGGTGTCTTTTCTATAATGTCAGCAATGGCCAAAGCCGACAACTCCTTTTGTTCTGAACTACCATACATCAAACCATGAATAAATATTGGTAAAATACTGTTTGGTCCTTTAGGCATAGCAAAAGCAGGAACTTCAAATCCAGTTAATTTAAGAGCTTGACTACAAGGTTTGACTAATTTCTCCAATACTTCCTTTGGCTGCTTCTTTACCAAAGTGGTTAATGCTTCCATACTTCCCTTGACCACTATTGGAGAAGGATCACTTAATGACAAAATCATTTGGTAAAAAATATCCTCAAGATACATCGAGTAGTCCAAGGTAGCTTCTTCAAAGTAGCTACTCAACTGTGTAAATATCACTTCCCTCCTCTTTGGATCTTCATTCTTCATCAATGATATAATCTGTTGCATCAACATGTGTGCTCCGTCATCTTCTACTGATAATAGCACCTGGTTAAATTCTTTTGTAAGGTCTTCCTCTCCCAACATGATTCCATCAATCATTGTATTAATGATAAGAGAAAGCTTCTTATACAAAGCAGAACCAGCCACCGATGACAATGAAGCTAAAGCACTATAATTAACTGGATCTTTAAGCAATGCTGGTAACGTAATAGGGAAGATAATGTCTGATTTCGTTGCCATCAATTCCTTTAATGCCACAACTGTTGTTGCATTCAACTCTGTCAACAACTGGGGAATAATTTCATGAATTACAAGGTTACCCATTTTATTATGCAACTCTTCAAAAGCTTGAGCAGCTGCGTTATTTGTAGGTTTATCGTGAGCAATCAATCCATCATGTATAATACTAAGGAACGTGTCTTGATAATTTGTGAGCCCTTCCAAAGATGTGGATTTGATCAACTCAGTCAATGCAATGCATGCACCTTCTTGATCCTTAGCGTTTTGCAATGTTGGTAATAACTGCGGTAATGCATTGGCACCAACACGACGAACCATATCACCCAAAGTCTGAGCTGCAATAGTTCTTTGTGTCTCATCATCAGAAGCCAATTTGCTAATAACGATATTAGTCAAAGAAGGCAAGATTTCCTTAACAGTACGTGGAGTATTTGAGACAAGAGCTTTCCAAATATCTGCACTTGCATTGCGAACAATTGCTGCAACATCAGAGCGGCAAACAAATAATGCAGCCAAAATACGATCACGACGCTCTTGACCCAACATATCGGCTAAAGTCTTACTAACCATTTGATCCTCGCTAAGTTCATTCTTACCCGAAATTCCCGTGATTTGGAAGAGTAAGTCTCCAGTAAGCTCCAATGAAGAAAGACGAATACGATATGAGATATTGGACAAACCAGCTTCCAATTCCGGTAATAACAAATCAACAGCTTTCTTTGCGTAATTCTTGACAATTAATCTACCTGCTTTCAATGCCGTTTCTCTAATTTCTTCGTCTTGGTCAGCCAATCCATTCAAAATTGGCGGAATGATTTTACTCAAATATGGTGAAAATTGTGACCCAAAACATACTGGTAAGAACAATAAAAGAGGCATAAATCCAGCTCTAACAGCTGCACGAGGCGAGCTAGCTGAACTAATAATGGATGGTAAAAGTTCCTCTAACTTGTTGACACCAAGACCACAAATAACCTCCGATAATGCTTGTGCAGATCCAAGACGGTCTCCTGACCTTGACTCGTCTTGCAATGTATTCATCAATTTAGGAATCAATTCTGGGAACTGATCTTCGCCTAGTTTTTCAACTAATGATCCCAATGCTCTTGCAGCTGTTGACCTTGTTGCAGGAACTGGATCAACCATAGCATTTTCCAATTCCTCTACCAAGTCACCCAAGTAAGGTTGTAAATCTTTCGAATCAACCAAGATAGACATGTTACCAACTATTTGACAAGCTTTCTTTTTTGTAGATGCGGATCTATCCTTCATTGCTCTGTGAACAACGTGAATGATGAGCGCCAAGGAGGAGCTATCAATATAATGCACAAATTGCGTCCTTGTTAACCTATCCAAAGCTTCATCCAAATGCTTAGTAGGATCCCCAATTGCGTTTATCAAATATGGCACAATTTGTTGAATCTCGGGATTTCTAATAACTTCTCCAAATCTTTTTAACGATTGCTCAGCAGTTTTTCTAACTTCCTTATGGGTGTCATTTAAAACACCAACAATTTCAGGAATGATGATGGATAACGAGGCTGATAATTGTTCTGGATCCAAGTACGCCATGGCACCCAATAATTCAACAGAACCTTTCTTTGATCTCCAAGCGGTTTCATCAAAATTGGAAATGGCTAATGGTATAAGTTTCTTAACACCAAAAGATGTGGTATTTTTCATAATTTCCTTAGCCGCATCATCTGTTGCTATTCTCACTTCATTTTGTACATCTCCAAGGCATCTCAAAATAATCGGTAATATCTCAAATACAAATGGTTCAAAATATCTTCCCAAACTTTTTGATAAAGCTTCAAAAGCCAAGGAGACACTTTGTCTTTTGATGGGATCTTTCTTATCATCAGATGCATCTGTCAAATTACGTACCACGTCATAATCAACAAGAGCTTTGACACCAATTCCCTTAACTAAACCGGCAATTCCATAGGCAGCCCCACGACGTTTAGCAAGCGTTTTGGCGGTAAACAATTTTTCGAATAAGGTGTCGAAATATGTGGCAAGTTCACCTTGGAATGCATAAACTAAAGGTGCAATACATTCGGAAACTGCAAATTGTACATTCGGCGTGTCCAATGACTTCATCAATCTCTCAAATATAACTTTCAACCGTGGGTCCGATGCATCTAAATGGCTCGCTAATGACCCATATAGTATAACAACAGGCTCCTTGATATTATTTGAACTCAAGTTTTCCTCAAATATACCAATAAAAGTTTCAATATTCTCAGCACCGTGTACTTTAATAGCCTCGATACCTGCGTCTTGGTATTGCTGGCGGACATTTTCGTCCTTATCTCCTAAAGCTTCATTCAACAAGAATCTAATCAATTTTTCCACGTTTTCCTTGTTTAGCAATGGTACGAGAAACTTCAAAGCAAGTGCAATCGTAGATCTTTCTTCCCAACGATCTCTCTGATCGATTGTCGATTTTATAACAAGACCAAACGCGTCTTTGCGTGGAGGTGGTGGATTCTTCTTTTCAACATAAAAATCAAACAATTCTTCTATGCAAAATTTATTCGTTTGCTTAACTGCTTCAGTATAAGCCTGAGCAACAGACAATCGTAACCCTGAATCCGGTAATCCAAACAACGTCAACAAATTTGTTGTATCTTCAACTGATAAGAAGTTATCTTCCCATATCGTTTGTGCAAGCTCTTGACAATTATGGTCGGTATCAAATGTAGCAACAAATATCTCCTTCGAATATGAGCTCAACTCAAATTCTGAATCCAATCCTTCCAAGATTGTTGACCTCACAAAAACATGAGGACAAACAACATTTTGCAACAACAACTGCAAATCTTGTTTAGAAATGTTCAATGCAATATAAGGACATAATGATAAAAAGCACTCCTTGGCTATTTTGGCTTTAGATGGTAGAGCCAAAAGTGATATCAAAATTTTCAAGATGCTTTCACGAGGGATTTCACCATCGGCAAACAATTCTGCGTGTGCAGAGATTATCTCAAGACACAAGAGTAATTGCTCTTCCTCGGTATCAATTTCCACAAACTCTGATGTAACAGCTAATTTTTTAGAATTTCTAAAAGCGGCAACTTGACCACGTTGAAGGATCTTTGTCAATAACGGCAAAACATAGATCAATGATATGGAATCTAATGGGCTTTGATCGCTAAGAAACTTTATACGATACAAGATTCTGCCGCATAACGACACCAAGGACTCTTGCTGCAACTCGTCATTTAGTTGAACATCATTAAGACGTAAGATAGCCACGCCAACAAATTTTTTCATACTTTCAAATCTGGAACTGGTTAAATCTGACAAATTTAAAAATGCGGTAGTAGCGCTTGTACCGAATAAATCATTGGGCTTGGTTGTAGCAAGCTCGAGTAACTTTTTTACGCTAGTTGGGAACCAGTATTCAGCACCATTATCAACCAATTTGGCTTGCCTAGCTAACTCTTCAATCAAATTAATACCATACTCGACTTTATTAATAGTTTGTTGAATTTCAAGCCTTATCTTTGATTCTTTTGCTACTTGTTCAGAAACTAATTTTTTCTCCTCGGGAGTCAACTTCTTTGCTTGTTTCAATTCTCTGCCAATTTCCTCTTCCCAAGCCTTAATTTCGTAATCTCTCGAGTTTTTGTCTAATGCCTTTGGCTTTTTATCAAGAATATCGATCACCATTTCACCCTCGGTACCATGGTAGATTAATTGTGAGGTTTCATCAATAGGTTCCACGGTCAAATCTTTTTCAATTAATTCGACAATTGGCTTTATCAATTTGGGTTGGACAAAAGCTAGCGTCGCTAAAGCTTTGATTGATGCAAGTGATTGATGGCGGTTGTTTCTACAGCATAGGTCGAACATTTGTTGGAAATTGTGTTTTACCAAATTCGCAATGTCAACTTTGTGACCACTTCTTTGAACAAGACCAATCCAACCACCATTAACGCCAATTTTTGGATCACTAGCAAGGATGATCAACTTAACCATATTACTTGTTGCTTGATCAATCTCCTTCAACTGGGTCAATATGGTAAAAACCGGTCCTAATAACCTAAGATTATAGGTCTCTTTGGGTAGGTAGTCTGCACAAGCATCAATTATGGCCTCACCAAGTGCCAAATTAACTTCAGCTTCTACTTTGAACCTCTCCAAAGCCAATCTCCTTACAGAGTAGGGTACTTTCGAACCCGATAATGCGTACAACCAACCATTAGTTTCGTCGTACAAGGCCCTGGTAAACCATAACAAATCAACTGCATTCAATTTCTCAAAAAGTCTGGTATCATTGAGCAAACATGACCTTTTATGAGAAAGAGCTGAAACCACAAAGGCACATGCAATTACTTTGATTGAAGAATTGGGCGATTGTTCAATGGAAGTCAAAGTTTCATTAAACACCTGCTCAAATTGAGCAATGAATGGCTTACCATAAGCATGATTTGCAAACTCAACAAACCACACGCAACGAAATTTCGATTTGAAGCCAGTAATAAATACCGGAAAAATGCATTCATCTGAGAAATTTGATTTGAATGCATGGAAAGTGAGTACATTGACCAAACTGCTCAACGACAATTCGTTCTGTTCTTTACTCACCAAGGGCAGTATCGCATTTACAACTTTGTTGGAGTTTTGCGCGCACAACAAAGACTTGAATAGCAACGATTTGGATTCCGCATTCGAAGTAGTTTTAACTGCTTTCAATATCTCATCACACAAGTCTTTATCGGTTTTTTTTAACACCCACTCAAGCGTTTTGTAAGCACCAACTCTGACATGTTCCTTTTGCGACTTGATCCCCGTAAAAATAGCCAGGAGAAGTTTACTTGAAATATCAATTTTTCTAGACAAGTATTGAAAAAATAATGGTAAAACATCTCCAAATGCATTTTCAGAAGACCTTAAAACTGACTTCTCAATAGCCGGTTGCACCAATTGACTAAAGTTTTCCTCATTAACCAAGGTTTCAATACACGTACCAAAAGTTTGCAACACTTTTGCTGGAGGTGGTTTTTTCCCCAATAACACTTGGTTAATGTATATATTCAAGATTTGGTTCGTGCAAGCTTTGAATTTCTCTATTATAGAAGGTTTTGTCGGTATGAGTTCTGTTGCTGCCATACACAACAATCCCAATAATGCAAAAGACTGATTATTCTCTATTACCAAGTCGAGATATGTCGCATCCTTTTCCAATGTCTTTACTATCGACGTCTTTGTAGTGAATATGGCCGACTTGACAATCCTTTGCTGTGCTCTACAAAAATTGTCGTTGTTGTTGTTGTCGATGCATTTTGTAAACAATTTACTCTGAACAGATACACACAAGTCTGAAAGTCCTTTAGCCTCGGCTAACTCAACAACAAAGGCATTAATCCAATCTAATAACGTCAAATAATCTCGTTTCGCCAACAGATGACCCGATATTTCTTTATTGATAAACTCAACATAATATTGTAAGCATCTCCCCAGATCTCGCTTTCCAACCACTTTCAAAGCTTCAACCACCTTATTTCTTGAATCCGCATCTTGATAGTAGTTGTATGTGCTTAATAACGTTTGAACTATCGAGTTTATATCAGAATCATCAATCTCATCTATACTTAATTTAACAGATTCTAAAGTATAAAGTCTAGTTGTAAGAGACGAGCTTTGAATACCTTTCTTAAATGAAGGCTTCAATTCTCCCCATTTACTAACTTCCGACATACAAGTATAAAAAGGAAAGAGTATATTTACTTCTTCTACAATAGTCTAACCCCTTCAACCAATGGCTATGAAAAAAAAAAAAAACAATCTCTATAGAATCAAGTTGTCGATGGAATGAACCTTAACCGCCCAAAAGAAAAAAAAAAATTTTCAACGTTTTTATATTTCCCCTTCTTCTTCTTCTTCTTCATCAACTATAACAGTCGATGAGGAAAGGTTTTGATCCGTTGCAGTAATGAATTGAAGTATTGGATATGAGAGACTTTTGGGTTTTTTATGTCTAGTATTTTTGGTTCGTCTCAGTCTTGATTGATTGGGCGCTGTGGAGAATATCACGAAACCACGCTTTATCACCACACAATTTTTCAAGTGGTATCTGTTTATTCTGAGGCTGTAGAAAGTTGATCACTGTAGTAACTCTGAATCACTGTTTCTATCGAGCAGAGCGAGATAGAAACACCATCAAACCCAGATAACACTGTTTCTATCGAGCAGAGCGAGATAGAAACACCATCAAACCCAGATAACACTGTTTCTATCGAGCAGAGCGAGATAGAAACACCATCAAACCCAGATAACACTGTTTCTATCGAGCAGAGCGAGATAGAAACACCATCAAACCCAGATAACACTGTTTCTATCGAGCAGAGCGAGATAGAAACACCATCAAACCCAGATAACACTGTTTCTATCGAGCAGAGCGAGATAGAAACACCATCAAACCCAGCTAACATTGTAGCTCCGAGAAAACATTGTAGCTCTGAGAAAACATTGTAGCTCTGAGAAAACATTACAGCTGAGAGAAAACATCACAACTCTTTGAGCAAACACTGTAGCTCTGTTTTTAGTAGAGAGAGGGGGGAGAGAGAGGACATTGCAGCTCTGTTTTTTGTTAGAGTAATGTTCCAGAGTAATAATCCAGAGTATCGCTACTGAGTGTTGCTCCACTAGCTGAGTGTTGCTCGATAGTAGGCTTGTGTTGAAAATGCATAATATTAAATTAACACCCAAGGAGTCTTCTTTTTAGCTTTTTCCTTTCATCTTCTATTGAACAAATATCAAAATAAATAAATGAGTATATATAACCTTTTCCTCCCAAATGAAAATACGAAATTTTTGAGAGGCTGACATAAGAAAATCTCCCTAGTTCAAGGTTCTTTAATCCCCGTGTTTGAAGCAACATCTATTTCCATACCGACAACTCCCATATTTTGCCCAATTTGAACATGGTTTTGATCTCCACTTGGGAGGTCTTTCAACGTGTTTCAATTCATGTTCCCCATGAGCAAATTGGCACTTTGCACCATATGTACAAACACCTGTTTTCATAAATGGTGCACATAACTCTGTTTTGTAAAGCTGCGTATTGACTGTGGACTTACTTTGGAATGGGGCTTGTTCAGCCTTGACCAAATCCTTTTGAGTAATTGTAGTATTCAATTCGGGTGAAGTGAATGTATATGTCTGCTCTGTGGCGGAAAAGAGTTTCTGCTGATGGTGGTGGTGGTGGTGGTGATGATGGTGGTGATGCTGATTATGGCGTTGTTGCTGCAGCTGTTGAGTTTCCGAATTCAACAATTGTACATCTTCATCCAATAAATAAATCTGTTGCGAATTAACAAGGTCTTCAGACGCTTTATACGCCTCCAATTCCCTATCCACTAGGTTATGCGCATTGTTAAAAACACCTTCTGGCTGAAGCAATGAAGCTTGTTGGTGTTGATGTGATGGTGGTGGTGGCGGTGGTGGCGAGTGTAATATGTTGTTATTATTGTTCCAGGATTTTTGAGTACTATAATTTGTATGTTGCTGATTAAAGGATACTTGACGCCATAGTTGTGGAGAGTTTCTTCCAATAATTGTTTGTTCTTGATGAGATGAGGATAGCTGTTGCTGTTGCTGGTGTTGGTGTTGGTGTTGGTGTTGGTGTTGGTGTTGGACACATGGTAGCAACGCGGTTTTCATATTTCCATATGTATGTAAATTTAAATGGGAAGATTGCAATTGATGAATATGGAGGTGATTATCCTGCAATTGGCATGGGGAATGACACTGTGAATGGGACTGTGAGTTTGACTGTGAGTTAAGGTTAAAAGTTGGAAAGGTGTTTTTCAAGGTAAAAGTGTCAAACGTGTCTGAAACACACGATTCATTAGATGAAGTTTGCCATAAATCAGGTAGTAAATCTCCTTTCAAATCGATAATTGAGTTTGAAGAAGAGAGCGAGGATAGTGACGATGAGGCTAGTTTTGAATCATTTGAGTTTTTCCTGAAATAGTTGTCTGGTCTTTGGAAAGTTTTGTATAAATTATCTGAACTTGCAAACATAATCACTAAAAAAGGCTTCTTTAATATATGAATAACCTAACAAAAAAAAATATATATATACCCGCTCTATTAAAAACTCAACTTCAATATCAACTTCAATATCAACTTCAATGACAAGTTCAAATAACAAGTTCAGTTTTTAGTTCAAGTTCCAGTACTATCAACTTCTGTTTTTAGTTCAATTTCCAGCTCAAGCTGAAGTTAAAGGTGAAGTTTAAAATTGATATTTGAATCTTTGATATGTTTTATGGATATTTCCAATGTATATATATAGCATCGTATATTATGTATCTCTTTGTGTTATTTAAGAGAGAAAAATCTTCTTACTAAAAAAAGACAACTTTGTATGCGCTCTACTTTTTTGTTTGTATGTGTACATTAGTGCTTTTGGTTGTGTTGTGTAGCATTAATTGAGTAGTATTATGTAATTTATTATATAACATCATCTGTTCCCCTCCCTTCCTAATTCGTCCTTTTTTTTTTTTCTCCTCTCTCTCTCTCTCTCGCTAGCTCTTGTAAAGTTACCGTTCTGTTGTTTTGTCGCCATCGCGAATAATTTTTTACCCCAAATTTTTTTTTTACTCCTCACTGAAATCTACTACTTAAAGGGAAAAAGAAAAACCAAATGTAAAGAAATAAAGAAATAAAGAAATAAAGAGAGATTGTTCAAGAAAAAGGGGGAGGGGGGGGGTCGTTTAAGAAAGAGGGTTGGTTGATTTTGATGCTATTGGTTTTCGTTTTTTTTGCACAAGTCAGGTGAACAATACATTTGAGTCGGTCTATTGGTTATTAAATTTTTCTACGCCGATTTTAGATTCTTTTTCCTTGTTTTTTAATTTTTTTAGTATCTCCGATAATGACAGTGAGGAAAATTTGAAGTTTTTGAAAGACAGACAATTAGGCAGATAGAAACACAATCAGGAAGATAGAGACACAACCAGATAGGAGTAAGGGGCACCCGTACGTTGTAATTTGACCAATTACAATAACTCAACAAAAAAAGTAAATGATAAATTTGCCAGTATTGTTAGTTATTCACTTATAATATAAGTCACCTGATTAATCCTGTATCCTAACCTTGTAGAAGGTTATACACATCATACTTTAGCTCTCTCTCTCCAGTTTACCTCTATCTCTTTCAGTTTATTCTTATCTTCTCGATTTTTCGGTCCTAGTTCCTGTCCTAACCTTTACTATTATTGTTGTTTCTCACGTTATTCTTAACAATGGTAGTTTGTAATTCTCTTTTTTTTTTTTTTTTTTTTTTTTTTTTTTTTTTTTTTTTTTTTTTTTTT